ATTTTAAATACACATGGCATATCATAAAATTGAAACAAATTAAAGTACTCGGATCCTTAGCGGAAAATCAGGCATTGTCTAATTGAAATGTTAACAAAAATGTCTCTGAATTCTCAGAGTAACGTGTTTTAATTATATGTACTTCGATCATTTTACGATGCATTTTCCTATCATTGCAAAACACCATATGTTTCTTCTAATTTCATATCATTTTGATAAACATGGTAAGATAAAAATGAACCTCAATTTCTTATAATATGAAATTTTAAAATACTTTTAGGGGGTAAAAATTTTGACTTTTTATAAAACCATTCTGAGAACTTAAAAGAACCTTGGTATAAAATGAAAATTGTTGCATGAAAAGAATTTTTTCAAGCTTCATTTTGAGACTTTTTGAATTAAATTATAAATTAAGAAATTATCCTCTCTGGCTAAGGATCGCAGTACCTTAAACACTATTTTATATAATATTTTTATTTTACATTTTTTTGAAGTATTTTTGCACTGCCAATCGGTGTATAACACCTGACAATCTTTTGTACAAATGAATTATTATATAGTAATCGAGCACTCATTAATATATTTTTTATTTTAAAAAAACTTCTTTGTATTAATTTTTGGGCAAAGAAGTATTGTATTCAAAGCATAGATTACAATAAAAAGTGTTCATGATGTAAATTTTGAGATTTGGCTCAAATACAGTAAAGCAAAAAAAAAAATACCCTTTTCAATATTTGAAATCTTAATATTATATTTTCCAATATAAAATAATGTGAAAACTTTCTGTGATCAAAAAATATCTGTGGTCAAAATTCTAACATTAGGGTTAATTTATTTTTTACACCTTGAGAATTTTCTACAGAATATTCTTCCGCCAAAGACATAGTCCCTCAAGAATCTTCTCTTTTTTTTGGGGGTCGATTTTTTTCTAGATTTTTTAAAAAGATTTTTAGATTTCTAATCGAATGTTGTACAATTTACATTGTTTTATTCAAATATGTTTTAAAATTTAACTTCAATTGATAAATTGATGCTAGAGGTTCTAACATTTCTTTCCCCCAAAACTGAAGAAGATGATACTACTTTAATGACCTTAAAAGACTTCATAAATAAAAGTAAACTCTTATAAACAAAGCCACATGGGGTTCAGTGTTTACCTGCGTTCAATTTTCATCTTCGGAAAAGTTAAAAAGATCGACAAAGTTCATGTCAAAGACTTATTAAAATATATCCTTAACACAATTATAAAGTAAACAATTTTGCAAAAAAAAGACTATGTTTGCAAACTTATTTGATGTTCCACATAGCCAGAAGGCAGTGATAATAGAGACATGAATCTCTACTGCATGCATACTAAGAGATAATTTTATATTAATTTATCAGCATGAGGACAATATTGTTTTTTTGATTCCTGCATAAAAACTGGTCGATTGCTGCCCACCTGTATTCAGATATAAATTGCTGTAACAAATATTTTTCTAAATTCTAGAATGTCAATTTGGGTAGCATCTAGCGGTTCAAACATACCAGAGGGAGCAATAAGAGCTGGATACGACTCAAATGGGAGGCCGTTTTTTATTGCCCAGGCAAAAATGGAGGGCGTCATGACACCTGGGAAATGCGGATTTCACCTTCATAGGGAGCCCATATTCCATATGCCACGAAAGATAAAATCATAGATCTGTACGAGGTGTTGGTTTATCCCTTAAGAAGTTCAGGCTATTTGGAGTAGCAGAAGGCTTCTAACGGCAACGTGCCACCCAATGCCTTTAAGACGGATAATGATATCTATGTTGGAAGAGTGCTGTATCAAGGAAATTTGATCCCAGGGAAAATTGCTACTGCTCCTCGTCATAAGTGTGCATACATCGGATATGGAGGGAATGAAATCAGTATCAAAGAATATGAGGTCCTGTGTCAGGTCAAATAAATACCTGAACAGAATGTGAATTTTTTTATTAAGTGAGTGTGGCTAAAATGAATATCAAGGAAGGCCATCTGATGTGCAAGGAAAACTTTATCTTTTCTATAACACTAACATATATCAATAGCTCGATCTGTATACTCTGTTCATTCTCTTTTTTATTTTCTAATCTTACAAAATAAAAAGATAAAGATCTTCTACTGTGTTTATAATTGTCTCTAAGAGTAACACATAGATCCCCACTAAGTCTGAGTCTCGATTCACAAAAATACCTTAAGACGAAGAACTAGGAGAAATGTGGTTAAATTTGTATCTTCAAATTTGAAAAATGACTGATAATAATGTTAAAAAAAATCATGTCTCAAGAATGAAATAAATATAACATACTCAAATAAAAAAAAAATTTGTTTCAATTAATTACTTTTTTCAGTTGCCTCTGTCGTTTTGTAACACGGTGTAATAACCTGTGACGTCGTAGTTGAACGGTTCAGACGCGTTAACTAAGGAATTGCAAGAGTGGAAACAATGATTTTAACAGCCTATTACATTTAAGACGTTTTATTTACTCTTTCTATCTTTTAGACGTACAGGGCTTATTTTCACAAACGACTGGTGTTTTTAACAAGTCAAGTGTGTAAGATAAGGATAGTGTTTCCAGTTCTGTTCATCCTTTTCCATAGTGCTTAGTGGTCTTCTGTCTTATCTATATTATTACTCTTCTCATTATACCTGCAACTGCTTTATTTCTTTCATTTTTCATAGCAATTCTTTTTACTGACCTTATTCTATATTAATTTAAAATTTGAATGTTTTTAAAAAGATCTATCCTACTGTAATATCATTTTGACAAAGGTTATTTATAAGCTAATACTTAGAAAGAAAATTTATTTTAAAGGCCAATTGAAAAATTTAAGGGTATTGAAAAAAGGTTAGTGCGAACGTAGTGAAAACCTAATTGTTTATTGACGTAAAATTCAAGAAAATCCAATAAGACATCAGTGTTTCACCATGTATCATCGACTTATTTGTCAAAAATATATCTTGAATTCATCTTTCTAGAGCACAACTCAAAACAACAGGCTTGTCACAATATTTCGTCTTTATTGTTAGGTTCATTATATCGTATACCTGTAATACATACAAAAAAATTCACAGTTCACTTTTTTGGAGGAAATTCCTCAAAATCAAAGTCCATTAATTTTAGCTTTCGACATTTTAGTCAAAGAAAGTGTGGTCGAACTACCCTACATTATCTTGATACATTAACTTTAATAAATCCTTACAAACAAAGATATTTTACCGGGTACAGTAATGCTCTATGAACACATTATAAAAAAATAAAAACTGGTGTTAGGAAAGTTGACGGACAAGTAGACACAATTGTTCTAGAAAAGGTGTTTTTCTAAAAGAAGGATATGGAGATAACGAACAGTATTCGATATCATAGTCCATAAAACAATACAAAACAGGAGCAGAGCAAACACGGACTTCCGAAACATCAGAGGTGGGATCAGGTGCCATGGAGGAGTGAGCTCATTGTCATGATCGTGAAATAACGGAAAAATTCGAAGATTCGGTGTATAAATAATGGACTAACAATTGGTATGAAAAACGTCAGTCAGCATTTGACTCAACGATAAATTGTATTTGCTGACAAGGTCATTGTATCGACCATAGAACTTACACGAAATGATGATTTTAAGCGAGACTGCTGAAATTCTTCTTTCATAAACTTGCTTGTCAATCATTTACCATGTTTTAGAAATTGTTCATACGTAGGGCATGCTCTTGCGTATGGAATCAACTGCGATATATTCACTCCGTATGCAGGTGATGAAGGTATATTGCTGCATAAGTAAGGGAAGTTGACGATAGAAAAGTTTAAGTCGTCACGTTTATCATATTTGATTGTTCGGTTACCATTAACGTCTTTTTCAAGTAAAAAGAATTTCATGGAATACACAACAGCATTTTTTAGCTCAAAAGTTCATTCAAACGATACAAATTAGGTGCAAAGTACGTACAGATCTTCAGGCTTTATGGTAGATTTGATCACTTACCGACCGGTATTTACATCTGATAAACGTTTTAAACGATACCTTAATTCAAAATATTACCACTGTGCCTGATTTTTTTTTTTACATAGAACTGGGTCTAATAGTTTTAAACCAATAAAATTATTTTAATCGTTCAAACCTTAACGGTTTAAATTAAATTTGTTGAATGTGTCGATCACTTATGACGTCACTTACAAATTGGGTAGATCGTTTATGACTGAACAATCATTTCATTATCACATGAGGAACTGTTTTTACACAGGGGTAAAAACGCCTTTTTCCAAGCGTTAATAAAGGGAGGCATTCTAAAATGTAAAAGTACGCTTATGATATTCTGTAAAACAATCGCTGTGACATACTTGAACACAATATATTTTTGCATAGATAATAGGGTTAGAATTACTAAACAGTAATAGTTCTATAAAAATTCAAGAATCTTAGTGTTCCAACTTGTTAACAGAGCATCGGATATGTACATCTAAATGTCTTTAAATACAAAATACATTAATGCAACATAATATCACGTTAATTAAACTAAAAGTATGTTTATACCTGCACTTATTTAAATATTAATGGAGTCCATGAAAATATCCTTATTTTTTCTATTTTCCCGTAAAATTCTGGGATGATATTGAATTTAAGAATTTTTAGCAGAGATTCTGACCGTACTACGATGAATCATCCTCGGCTGCAAAAGTTTGAATTCTATATTCTATCTACGTAAAACAATCTTTGCTACATGAACCAATTTTTTTGTATATAGTTTATTACTTCACTGTCGTCAAAAGGATATTATTTCTTCCTCGTCTTTTATCTCCTTCCACAGATTTTTTGTCTCCCAAAAGCAGTTTGCGCTTCTTGTTGATATCATCACAGAAATTGTCGGTGTGACTCTGGTTTTCTCCATCAAAAGGTTCTGAGAATTCCGGAGTGTAGCAGTGAAAATAAATGAGCAAGTAAAATGAATTTAATGGTCTGTCTTCTTGTTATTAAAAATATAGTTTAAATATATAATAATATTTTATTAGCATTTCAGAATGGTACGATGGGTAAAAACGACGGGGTCCAATATACCCGAGTGGGCAATAGAAGGTGGATATGAGGCGAATGGGAGACCACTTTTTATTGCCCGAGCACAAATTGAAGGCGTCATGATACCTGGAAAATGTGGAAACCACCTTCCTGGAGCTCATATTCCATACAGGTCTGAAGAACGAATTGTTAAAGAGTATGACGTGTTGATTACTTCAAAAACTCCTGGATATTTTGATTGGCAAAGCGGTTCATTCGGCAATGTCCCATCACATGCTTTCAGAATAGATGATGGGATATATGTGGGTAGAGCGTTCTACCAAGGAGGTTTGGTGCCAGGGAAAGTTGATTCTTCTAGGAGGAGTGCATACATAAGCTATGGAGGGGAAGAAATCAGGATTCAGAATTACGATGTCTTCTGTGAGATTAAATTAGGATGAAATAAAACGATTTTGAAAGATTAAAAATTATAATATTAGGAAGTAACGAAATAGCTCATAAGATTTCACCATAGTGCTTCAATACTATGTATACTTTGTATTTTGAACAATGCTAACAAGAGTATTAACTTCTTTACATTTTTATTTTATTTTGATCTATTTATTTATTGCATTTTCTATTAAAGCTCAGAAATCATAATAGGATGAAAGCCGAACTGTTCAATTTGTTTTTTAGCTTCATTCCTCGATGAACAAATTAATTTATAATCATTTATTCCTATAATTTCATTTTGTTTTTTAAAAATATGCTTATAATGTATTCCTCGTCGTCATTATTTCATGTATGTTATGCCTATTCGGATCAAGTAAATGCTTTGAATAATTTTCCTGTAAGTTGTGAAAAGTTTTTGTCCTTTCCTTTCTTACAGCTTTTATTACTTAATTATACAACATGATCATTTATTTCAATCAATCAATTTTGATTCTTTCCTTGTAATCATAGTTTTATAGTTTTAATTGGAATTACTGATTAAAATATGATTAAGTTAAATTGTGCAAAATTATCAGCGTTATTTGTTATAAGCTTGTAAAAATATGATTAAATAATAAAATTCTCATCAAAACCATGTGATAAAAATGTTTCATAATGAAATTTTCTTGTTTAATACTAGCCTGAATAAATATGTTAATATACTCGTTTATTTCCACATCTTATTCTCTTTTTGTATGTCTTTGTAATGTTCCAATATTTTCTTTTATGAAATATTTTGCACATTCACATTTAATTCACTCCTACAGTCCTACAAGAATGTTATGTTAATTCTCAATCTGTGTTTGTTTCCAAATGTTATGTTTTGTTTAATATTAGAAAAAGGGGAATTATCTCTCATTGACCTTGTCTGTTAATCTAGTTGACGTTCTTTAAGTCTAACCGTACTGCCTGGAGTTCTTCACATATCGTTTCATTTCCTTTCGGTGATGATGTCGACTTTTTGTCTTTAGCTTTCACTCTCCGTTCTATTTCTTTGACAACCTTTTGTTGTTCGTCGTACTGCAGTGAGATTTGACTCATGCACTTCTCAATGTCTTCAACTTTTACTTTCATAGTTTTCAATTCTTTCAGTTCCTGGTTTACATTGCTTACATTACGTTCAAGGTCATTTAACCTTTTATCTATTTGATCCAGGGTATTGTATTTAGCTTTGGTGACACATATTTAAGCTTGTTACATATCACTGGTAGAGTTTCGCGCATATCAATACTTTGAGGGACAGTGTTCGATTGGTTTGGTATTGGTGACAAATAGCCTGCAAATTGTCCATGTGAACTTTGTGGCATATTGCATGGTTTATTGATCAGAATTAATATCTAACCGGATGTTTTAAAATGTTCAAGTGTTCTTCCATAATGCAAATCCTTGTACGCAATTTAGCAATATTTCAACAGCTGTATCTACAGTGCTTAGAATTTTATATAACAGATCTTACTTGTCTTATCCCCCTCTTGATAAAACATTGTGCTCGAAATTTTATATAACAATCTTACTTTTCGCTCTCTTGTTAAATTATGTGTTAGCAAGTCACCTTCATATGTATAAATGTATTCCTGAATTATTGTATCTTTTCTTAGTAGTTTCGGTTTTGTTTTTATTTTGTAAACCGGGAAGCAGGAAAACAAAAAAGCCCATACTGTATTCACATCAGAGCGATCATCTTAGTTAATAGACATTTAAACAAACACCTTATAGTTCATTGCTAACTGACAGGTAATTGATTTTTGTTTGATTCTTATTGATTTTGCCAGACGCAATAGGTACTAGAGCTCTATTTTGTACTTTCGGTTTGTGAATATAAACATGCTGTTTACAGGGGTTGTGAACATGTGCCACACAGTATTACGAGTAGTTGTTTTGACACTTTATTCTTTTACTTTTAGAAATCCTTACAGTGTTGCATAATATCCATGTAGGTTTGTAGATATAGGACCTCACATGATTTGTTGTTGGATAGTATTTTTATCCAACGAGTTGTGTGGATTTTATCCCCCAGCCTTGGCGAGGGGATAAAAACACACGAGTTGGATTAAAATCATATCCAACTACAAATCATGTGAGATTCTTTTTATCCCATGTTTTTTACACCACGAACAATGTTTGACACTGTTTTAATATAGGACTCAATTTCACATTACATCATCACTCTAACGCAAAATACATTGTGGCGTCACTGTGTGATATGAAAACGATATCACATGAGCTATATCAACGGGATAAAGGGTTAAACATGGGATAAAATTGTTTATCTCGATAAGTATGTTTTATGCATGTTGTTGTTTACCTATAGCTGTATCATTCTACATGTTTGACCTAGTTTTGGGTACCTTTATCTTCGAGGTGTATATAGAGGATATTCAATGTTTTGTAGTTGAATATGGAATTTATTTCACGAGTGGGACAGGATTTTTGATATTTTCACGAGTGCTAAGCATATCAAAATATCAAAAAATCCTGTCTCACGAGTGAAATAAATTCCATATTCAACTACAAAACATTGAATTTTCTGTTTATTACATTTTTAAAAAAAATTCTGCCCTTGCCTCTGTCTTTGTATAATACAGTAATAGGCTCGTGACGTCATAGTTGAGCGGTTGAGACGTCATAGCTATGTGAGGTGAAAACGATTTAGCAACATATTTTTGGTAATTTTGACAGTTTTATTCGCTCTCAGAATGGTTTATTTATTTCCGTCTATCTTATATTATGTCAAGGAAGTTTTTTTTTACAGCAATCTTCGTTATGGGAAGGGAATTCGAGAGTTTTCCCGCACTTCTGATATTTGTCACACCGTGACAGGATATCATTTTGATATCCTTTCACACTGTGACAGGATATCATTTTTATTCAATGAATAAATTACAGTATCTCACGGGTAAAAATGTAATAAATAAATGCACCATTGTTCACAATTTACATTAACAATAGAATATTTTGTACACATGCACGGCAGTAATGCACATCAGTATTGAAGTAGAAGATAAATCTATCATTCGGTGCAATAGTACCAAACGATGCAATAAGAGCTGGAAAACCACTTTTTATTGCAAGGGCTAGAATGGACGGCACCATGACACCTGGGAAATGCGGGTTTCATCTTAATGGAGCCCATATTCCATATGATACGAAAGAGGAAGTCGTTCAATCTTACGAAGTTTTATTTTGCCTTCAAAAAGTAATGGTTTTTTAGATTGGCAGAGATGTTCTAACGGCTACGTGCCACCGAATGCCATTAAGACGGACGAAGGAATCTATGTTGGTAGAGCGTACCATAAAGGGAGCTTAGTGCCAGGGAAAATCCTCGTTTCTCACAGCACTTCCTATGTCTGTTACGAGTGGGACGAGCACAGAATTAAAAATTACGAGGTGCTCACGGAGGTCAAATGAAACCTGTACGACGATTGGAGCAATTTATGAAACGAACTATACTGAAATGAATATCCAGCTTATCTGACTTATTTTTGTACCTTATAATAATATCTATTTATATATCTGTATTCAATTTTTTCTTCTCTCAAAATAAAAGCAATAAAGATTTTATTCAGCTTGCATATTTTTTTTCTCTTTTCTTCTTTTTTGCCAAGTGTACATTCTTCGTACATGCACATTTATGGTACAGCAAGCAACACGTAATTTTTTTAAAAAAATCAATTAATTGAAGCAGACTGCTACAGTTCAGATTAAATAAATTCCTCACTGCTAGCGTTTTCATTCATGTCTGATTTTTAGACAGCAGAGAGAAATCGCAAAGGATTACAGACTGAAAGCGCTAACAGTAAAGATTGAAATAAATTTGTTTTGTAGCATCGTATAAACAACATAAAGGCTACTTGAAATCTTAGTCCAAAGGCCGTAAATAAAAGCAGCGTGACAAAATTTGAAGCAAATACTTAACAATCTTTCAAACACGGTCGTTACAGGGACTTAAGTATGTGTCAACTTATCACTCATAAGATGAGAAAAAATGACTTTAATTTAGTGAAATGAAGAATTTCAAACGTAAAAAAGGATGGGGAAGATATAACTCCAGTACCTAAAGCTACCGCAAGATGTTGACCAAAGTAATTTTTTTCCTGTTAAATTTTTGTCATCAACTGTCAATAGTTTCTAGAAGATCCTATTTATTACTGGAATTGTTCCGTCAGTGGAAAAACATGCGCAGGATTTCTTTTGGTTTATTATATGAAAATTGATTATTTATATATTTTTTTAAAAAACACGATTAATATTCTTAGAAATGTCGTACAGTGATCATTCATTGAATGAAAAATATGGAGATAACGAACAGTATTCAATCTCAAAGTCCATAAAACAATACAAAATAAGAGCAGAGCAAACACGGACCCCCGAAACATCAGAGGTGGGATCAGGTGCCATGGAGGGGTGAGCATCCCCTGCCGACCGGTCACACTCGCCGTGTGCCCCTTGTCATGATCAGGAAATAACGGAAAAAATCCGTCGTCAATTCAGTGTATAAATAATGGACTAACAATTGGTATGAGAAACGTCAGTCAGCATTTGACTCAATGATAAACTGTATTTTATGACAAGGTCATTGTATCGACCATAGAACTTACGAAATGATGACTTTAAATGAAACTGCTGATATTCTTGTTTAGTCAACTTGCTTGTCAATAATTTACATCGTTTTAAAAATTGTTCATACGTAGAGCATGCTCTTGCGTATCGAATCAACTGAGATATAAATACTCCGTATGCAGGTGATGAAGGTATATTGCTGCATAAGTAAGGGAAGTTGACGATAGAAAAGTTAAAGTCATCACGTTTATCATAAAGCTTGGTTGTTAGATTACCATTAGTGTCTTTTTCAAGTAAAATATCCAAGTATGAAACAGAAGTGTCGGACTCTTCACACCACTTCTTGAATATATAGTTGCACAGTGCTCTTGAAGTTTTTCCTTCACTTCTGTCAATATCTTAGAGGGGAGTAACGAAAGAGGCTTGGTTAAACATTTACTGGAACCTGCAATGTATCTTTGTTTGTGAGGATTCTTATGAAGTTTTGGAATCCAATATATATAAGGTAGTTCACCATATTTCAAGTTAAAGCCTACACCTTGTATTTCCTACAAATATACATCGACCATTGTTTCCAAACTTTTCAATTACAAAAACACTTAACATGGCCTGGATACCGACTATCTGAAACATAATCCTCCTTCGTGTTCATGTTCTTCTTCGCCCTATAACTATAGTCCTGCTGGACACGTTATTACAGGTGACGTAAATATAGTTCGTAATGAGGACCTTAGATCACTTATTTTAAGAGGTCCTAAATATAGGGAACCCCGATCCTTCAACTGGCGTCGGAATTTCATAAATATTATGGATTCTGTGGAAAAATTACGCCAGACAATGGGCAAGATATGAAAAAGAAGACGTTGACACCTTGTCAGAATGGATTAAATGTATCAGATTCATGTTAAAGTCCCGTATTAAAAGATTGAGGGGCAATATGAAAACCATATATCCTTCTGTGTTCAATAAACCAGAAGTGAAAAAGGAGTTAGATAGATTTCACGATCAGTACGTACTGGTTCCTGCCGACAAAGCAGGTAATAACATTGTCTTCGTTTGTAAGGCTCATTATATGACTTGCATTCTAGAAGAACTTGGTTTTAATTCTGCAAGTGGTAATCCTACTTATATATTATAAGGAAGAAATTCTTCAAAAATACCTGTCAATTTTGAATACTTTTAATATTCCACAGAGCCAAAATGAATTTGAAATACAACACTGGACCCTTTTGTGATTAAGAATATTACTTATATTCCTTTATTGGCATATTGAAGTTTAAGGAAAAAACGGATTGTTTTAGCTGCATTTTCTTCCGTGAAGCGTGCGGGTTTAAAGAGCCTATGACATGCAATATCCATAATCACAGATCCGAGTCTATATTCAGGTGACGAGGAATCTAAAATTGGATGTTCCTTGGCCTTTTCAAGAAGACTATTCAAAAGTTTCAAAGAGACAGAGTAAATTTTTGTTCGAATATGATGTAGATCTAGCTGTTGATTTACATAAGGTAGTAATGAATCAAAAGAGACGTCGTGTATTGCAGGTTTATTGTACGAACGATGCCCATGACTACGCTTACGTCTCTGAGTATGGTTAAAAAGTCACATCACATTTACATTATTACACTGCGGACTGGAAAGATTAGTAGGTTTTTTTTAAATATAGGGTATTAAATGATATATAATATTTTAATATCGAGTGAAATCCTAGTTGAAGAAAACGTTTCTACCAAGTGCTTAAAGTTCAAATGTTGTAAATACAAGAAATAGATAGATGGCATACACGTATTAGGTTAATTTTTTAAAATGTCTGCTATACTGTTTGATAACTAAGTTGTGTAATAAATTGAAACTTTTATTATAGAAAATTGAAAAACTAATAGTGATTACTTTAAATTTGAAATTTCTATTTTCTCCAGTGTGATTCTTACTACAGTTGTGCAGTTACCTATTGTATATTTTTCTTTTAGGTTAATTTTGACTAACTCGGAACAATGAAGAAGCAAAAATAAAATAGCCTTTTCCTTTGATCTTCATGAAATATAAAATTAACGAGCAAAAAAAAAAAAAACATTTAGGAGGAATTCATATTCGTGTAAATTTTGCTTACAAGGATACAAATTTCAATTTATTACTCTGAACACATTAGTAAGGTTAGAAAAATAACTCAATTTAAGATTTGTTATAATTTGGCACAAAGAAAAAGCAAAGAAAGCAGCATATTTAAGATTTGTTTCAAGTGAATGTATCTTTATCTTCATGCAAAGTCAAATTCCACATGTTTGTACACATGTATTAAAATCAAAATGTTACTAAAATATTTACGACAAAATATTACCAATATTTCAACTACTATCTTTAATTCAATACATCATAATTTCAGACAAATGAAGCCTGTTTAACTATAATTCATAAAAAGTTTATATTTTGAAACAAATAGATTAATGTTCCGTTTTATTTATGAAAAATAATATAAAGATAATGAAGTTATAATATGGAAAATTGGTTTTGATAACTCAAATGAGTAAAATATAATGCAATTTTAGTTTTAAAATACTTTATCAAGGAATAATTTTATGTTTAAAATATTTGAATTTATTAAAATAATATCATATAGTTCATATTACAATTTATTCTATTTGATGTCAATCCATCGTTGATCAAGAAAAGATATAAATGAGATGGGTTAATTAAAAAAAATCTTAAGGGGACGAAGGATGTATGGTCACGTGACTCAGTTGATTTACGTCACAATCTGTGATAAAATATGTACAAAACGAGATTGAAACCACAGTACTTGTATGATATTTTGACTGTTTGTTTGCGTTCACCGTCTAGTATAAAAATATCTGAAAACTTTTAAAATTTCTTGCAAATATTATCAAATTACGGAATAGATTAATCCACTCTGCCGTTTCCCTACACCGCGCGTCCAGCGCGTCGTTGACGTCATAGTGGATCTCTCAGTACAGTAAGATCATGCATGGTAAAAACGGATAGTATAAAATCATAAAAACGGGTCATAATATGTACATGGTGGGGTATTTTGTGAATTGCAGAACGCAAAAAATATTTTTACATGGTTGTTAACGAAAATGTTCTATGGGACTGTCTTATTTCGCTTATTTCAGAAATGTGTGACGTCATATTCGAGAAATGTAAACATGACACGTTTTTCTCATGATCATGACTCGTTTAACCATGCCCCGTGCAATATTTAGCTCAGCTTCACCAATCGATATTTTTACAGTTAATCAATACAATGACAAACTTACACTTCGACGTAAATTTTCAAATATTAAATGATAGGATTTTTTGCAAATTAATTTTTTTAATGTTTAAGTTGTCTTAAAAAGTACGTAAGTTTCCGTCTCCAGATGTGGTGTTACAAAAGAATCTTGCTTTTTCGAATTTTTAACTCTATTCATACTCTAACATATTTTAAAAGACACATTTCCGCTGGCATATTTTTTATCTATGCTGAAAAAATTCAATTATCGACCGAGTAATGGACCCAGAAACACAGAGAATCAAAACTCCGCTCAGACACTGTGGGGTATGGTATTTGTCACTCAATTTCTCAGATATAAGTCTAGAAACCTATAGATATGTCTGCTTTATAGTATGTGGGACATACTAAATAAGATATATACAAAAAATGAAAAAAATTAAATGACAGGTATTTTTTCAGCTAAAGGTCCTTCATCCCCTTAAGAACTAATGCGCTAGAAATTAAAAGATAAAACATACGCCGGCACGTCCTGAAAAATAAGCTAAATTACATAGAAAAAAAGAAAGGAATTCAGAATTATGAAGATAATCAATGAATCAATTATTTGTCAACATATAAAATATGTACGATGCAATGTTTGCCTTACAGTGCCAACATAATTCTAGAACCGTGGCTCTATAGAAAATACATATTTAAATATTTTTTAAAATAATACAATATATTTTTAATGTATCTATCAATTATCTGTTACATGGAAGTGTGAACACAAATCATTTGTCTTTGTTCCTTCAAGCGTAAAGTCCGGCGATGGACTAGGAGATAATTGGTTATGCAAGGTGAAGCCAAATTAAGTGCCCTACCTCTTAGAATTAAAAGACGTAGGCATTTTTTGATTCAAGTTTCAGTTAGAGAGAATTTATATGTTTGGATTTTCTGATTATCATAGATCTTACTTTGTCAGGACCAACACAGTAAACAGTCCATGGATAACCCTGAACGCCTACCACATATTTTTTTGTCTTTTCAAAGCAGTTTGTGCTTCATGTTGATATCATCACAGAAATCGTTGGCGTGACTCCGGTTTTCTTCATCAAAAGGTTCTCAGAATTCCGGAGTGCAGCAGTGAAAATTAATGAACAATAGAATGAATGGTTTGTCTTCTTCTTATTAAAAATACAGTTTAAATACTGCAAACCAACTTTTATTCGCGACGACTTTATTTCACGATTTACCGGGGTTAAATTAGTTCGCAACGATTAATTTTAGCGATCAAAGCCTTTTTGATCTGTTGTTAATAGACAGAGAGACTTTAAGGACAGTATATTATATTTTATCAGCATTACAGAATGGTACGATGGATAATAATAACTGGGTCCAGTATATCACAGGGGTCAATAGAGGGTGGGTATAAGGCGAATGGGAGACCACTTTTTCTTGCCCGGGCACAAATTGAAGGTGTCATGACGCCTGGAAAATGTGGCTATCACCTTCCTGGAGCTCATATTCCATACAGGTCTGAAGAACGAATTGTTGAAGAGTACAATGTTTTGATTACTTCAAAAACTCCTGGATATTTTGATTGGCAAAGTGGTTCTTTCGGCAATGTCCCATCACATGCGTTCAGAATGGATGATGGGATATATGTGGTTAGAGCGTTCTACCGAGGAGGTTTAGTGCCAGGGAAAGTTGATTCTTGTAGGAGTGCATACATAAGCTATGGAGGGGAAGAAATCAGGATTCAGAATTACGATGTCTTCTGTGAGATTAAATTAGGTTAAAATAAACGATTTTAAAAGATAATAAATTATAACATTAGGAAGTAAAGAAACAGCTCATAAGATTTCACCATAGTGCTTCAATACTTTGTATTTTGAACAATGCTAACAAGAGTATTAACTTCGTTACATTTTTATTTTATTTTGATCTATTTATTTATTGCATTTTCTATTAAAGCTCAGAAATTATAACAGGATGAAAACCAAAGTGTGCAATTCGTTTTTTAGCTTCATTCCTCGATGAACAAATTAATTTATAGACATCGATTCTTATAATTTCATTTTAAAAATATGCTTATAATGAATTCCTCGTCCTCGCTTTTTTTCAGCCAGGTATTTTATGCCTCTTCGGATCAAGTAAATGCTTAGCATAATTTTCCTGTAAGTTGTGAAAGTTTTTGTCCTTTCCTTTCTCACAGCTTTTGTTACTGATTTATACAACATGATCATATATTTCAATACTAAAGCGTTAACATCAATTTTGATTCTCTCCTTGTTATCAAAGAGTATAGTTTTAAATGGACTTACTGATTAAAATATGATTAAGTTAAACTGTGCAAAATTATCAGTGTTATTTGTTATACGCTTGTAAAATACTGGATTAAATGATAAAATTCTCATCAAAACCATTTGATGAAAATGTTTCATAATGAAATTTTCTTGTTTAACACTAGTCTGAATAAATAAATATATATATATATATATATATATATATATATATATATATATATATATATATATATATATATATATATATATATATATATATATATATATATATATATATATATATATATATATCGTCACAATATTTTCTTTTATGAAATATTTTGCACATTCACATTTACTTCACTCCTACAGTCCTACAAGAATGTTATGTTAATTCGCATTCTGTGTTTGTTTCCAAATGTTATTTCTTTTTAATATTAGAGAAAAGGGGGAATTTTTTTTATATTATCTAGACTAGGACTTGAACCTAGATATACTATAAGTGAATTGTGGTCGCTTTTCCTTAAGCTTTTTGAATGTAAATGAAGAAATTGCACCTTCTCTTTTCAGTTACTATTAACTCAATATGATTGTTTGTTCCCAGAATACAAACTTGATCAAAGAAGAAGGTATGGTTTTAGCTTTATTGCGCCCTAAAAATGTAATGACATCAAAAAGTTTTGAAACTGGCTTAAATATTAGTTAAATAAATGACTCTGATAAATCAGGAAATAATATGGCATGAAAGTTTACCATTCTGCAAATATGACGTCATTAATGTATAGAATTTCTCTATTTTCAACAGGAAAAGCCACAAAATGGCACATTTAAAGGGTGATTTTCCTTTAAAGAACAGTGTCCACAGCCGTCGCCCATGTTAATTTTTTGATATTTTGTGCAAAATTTAATAACAAATCACATATCTCAAGATCTTTGTAGGCGATGCCTGTGGACAATGTTATCTGAAAGAGAATTCCATTGAAAATTGGTGTCTTCTGCAAATTTTTAAGAAATTACGGGGAAATGCACATGTTTATGACGTCATAATTAGCATTTAAAACACATGTGAGAAAAATGACTTGTATGATTGTTGATAAATTGTATTTGCTGACAAGGTCATTGTATCGACCATAGAACTTACGAAATGATGACTTTAAACGAAACTTAATGATTCTTTTTATTATAGCATAGCAGATATTAAGGTTAGAAAAATTCCAGGTACCCATTCAAACGGAAGTCGAATGAGTGACCATAGATACTTAAAATTTAGTTTTGATATTGATAAAACAAAAAAAGGTCCCGGATATTGGAAACTTAATGTTTCCTATCTCGATAATGATAAATACAAAAATGGTATCTTAGACATTATTCAGAGTATAGATTCCTCTTTAAGTCCTATAATTACAGGTTAAAGATTTCTCTATTTATTTTGCAAAAAATGAACAAAAATCAATTAAACAAAAGATAAGAACTATAGAACGCGAAATAGAAGATATGGAAGACGGAAATGTAGAAAATTTTGATTACAAAAGAATGAAAACTTTAGAAGCGGAACTAGACGCTATATACGACAAAAAATCTAAAGGTGCGCAGATAAGATCTAAAATTAAATGGATTGAGGAGGGGGAGAAAAATTCAAAATATTTTTTAAATTTAGAAAAGCGCAATCAATCCTCAAACATAATTAAAGAAGTAAAAACAAAAGAAGGGAATAAAATCAGTAAAACTAATGCCATTTTAGGTGAAATGCATTCTTTCTATAGCGATCTATATACGAGTAAAAACATTTCAAACGAACAAATTGAAAAATATTTATCTGAGATTGATGATATCCCTAAATTAAGTGAAGAAGATAAGATATTGCTAGAAAAATTTCCAACATATGATGAGTGTAAGGAAGCTGTTGATAGCATGAAAAAAGAAAAATCACCTGGACTAGATGGCATTCCTAGTGAATTTTATCAATGTTTTTGGGATAAACTTGGACCCTACTTTTACAAAGCCCTAAATGATATTTTTGATAAAGGTGAATTGTCTTACACACAGAAACTGTCTGTTATATCACTGATTTACAAAAAGGGTGAAAAAAATAATCTAAAAAATTATAGACCGATAAGTCTAACGAACACAAAATTACAAAATAATTGCCTTTGTCTTCGCAAAAAGATTACAAAATATATTATTTAAGTTAATTAACGAAAATCAAACTGCATACATAAAAGGAAGATATATCGGCGAAAATGCTAGATTGGTACTAGACGTATTTGAATACTGTGAAAGAGAAAATTCAGATGGTATTTTACTTTTCTTAGACTTTGAAAAAGCTTTTGACTCGGTTGAATGGAATTTTCTTTTCCAAGTCTTGCAAAAATTTAATATTGGCAATAGTTTTATAAAGTGGGCAAAAATTTTATATACAAATCCAATGTTTAAAATGAAAAACAACGGCTGGCTTTCTAAAACCAGCGAAATGACACGAGGCATTAGGCAAAGATGTCCTATTTCTGCTCTCTTGTACCTCTTTGTAGCAGAAATTTTAGCTATTAAGATAAAATGTGATACTGATATCAAAGGCATAACAATTAATAATCACGAAATTAAAAACATCCAGCATGCAGACGATTTGACTGTAGCTTTAAAAGATGAAATATCAATGAAGCGAACTTTGGATAAATTACAAGAATTTTGTAAACACGCGGGATATAAACATACATAAAACAGAATGCATTTTGTTGGGGGAACTAAAAAATTTGTATAATGAACTCTACGGTATTAAGATTACGAATAAAGCAGTAAGATGCTTGGGAATATTCATTGGACATGATAAGGAAGAATGCTACACTAAAAACTGGATGAAAATTTATCATGATATTGAAAAACTTTTTGAATCCTGGAAAAGAAGAAAATTACATTATTTGGTAAATCATGTATAGTAAAGACACTTGCTTTATCTAAACTTACATATGTTGCTTCAATTCTTAGTCTTCCTGATATTGCTTTCACAAAAAAATTACAACGTCTAATTTATAACTTTATTTGGGATAAAAATGAAAGAATTAAACGAAACACGCTTATAGGTAGAATTTCAAAAGGTGGACTATCAATTGTTGATATTGAATGTAAATTAAAAGCTTTAAAAGCGGCTTGGGTACCTAGATTGTTAAAGAACAAAGGCATTTTGTACAATATTTTTGATGGCTATTGTAAAAAATCAAATTTTGATGCTTTTTATGTGTTAGGTTTTTCCGATAGAAAGATAGAAAATATGGCAAAAATAGAGAAACTACCTATTTTTTATCAACAAATGTTATGTTGCTTTAATGAATGTAAGCCCTGTTTTTTGAACAAAATGTCTTCCGATAATGTTCTTCAACAGCCGATATGGAACAATTGTAACTTTGTATATAAAGGTAATACTCTATTTTTTAAAAACTGGATAGCCAGTGGCATTTTACATGTTAAAGATTTATTTAACGATGATGGTAAATTCAAATCATTGTTAGATTTTACGAATTGTATAAAAAACAAGTCAAACTGGTTGTGCGAATTTAAAATTCTTACTTCTGTTTTCAAACCCTTACTACTTAAGTATGATTTTTCAAATTGTTGGTTTGTTAACATACGATACAGAAACCATTTTCTTTTCTACACAGGATATGTTAATGTCATAGATCAAAGATGTAGTTTTTTCTATGAAAACCTTGTACACAGAAAATTTTGTAAACCATGTTATCAAACAGTTTTAAGCAAAGAGTTCAGTGTTGAATCCTCAGAATGGAAAAATATATATCAATGTAAATTATATGACATACCCGATAGACACATTACAGAATTCAACTATAAACTTTTAAACAATATTCTTTGTAATAATTTCTACCTCAGTAAATTGAAGAAAGAAACGAGTAGTCATTGCAAATCATGCCACGTGAACGAAACTTCAAAACATCTTATTTTTGAATGTAGAAATGTTATTGAAATATGGAACAGATTAAGTTTTACCTTAAAATAGATATCAAATGGAAACATCTTGTAATTGGATTTAGCTCTGAGCGCAATAGAAAAATTGTATCACTAAACACACTCATCTCTTATGTTGCCTATAGAATTTACAAATATAAAATGTATTGTCGACTACATTCCTTGGATGAAACTAGCTATAACATTTTTAATCATGTTAAATCTTCAATTTTTTTCTATGCCTCCATTATGAAAAATTTAAACACTCTTGTAGACTACAGACTTTTTAAAAATTTTGCACAAAATATTACTCTTTCTGATAACATGTTTTAACTGTAAGGTAATATTGTCACATTGTCTTGTGTTTGTAATGTAATTTCCCTGTTATATATATTTCACTGTTTGTTGGTATTTTGAAATGAAAATAGAATTATATAAAAAAAAAAAAAGACTTTAAACGAAACTGCTGATATTCTTGTTTCATCAACTTGCTTGTCAATAATTTACCTCGTTTTAGAAATTGTTCTTACGTAGAGCATGCTCTTGCGTATCGAATCAACTGAGATATATATACTCCGTATGCAGGTGATGACGGTACATTGCTGCATAAGTAAGGGACATTGACGATAGAAAAGTTAAAGTCATCACGTTTATCATATAGCTTGGTTGTTAGATTACCATTAATGTCTTTTTCAAGTAAAATATCCAAGTATGAAACAGAAGTGTCGGACTCTGTAGTATCTTTTATCTCAAGCTCACCAGGACATACATGTATCGTATCGACGTTGGAATGGAAATTACCATTATTAATTGACAATACGCCGTCGATATATCTGAATGTCGAGTTGAAGGCCACAGCAAGTGTTTTCTTCTTTTCAAGCATAAGATTTTGCATAAATTCTGCTTCATATGAATAAAAAAATAAGTCTGCTATTAATGGTACCCATGGGAATTCCAATAGATTGTTGGAATACCTGGTTTCCGAAAACCACATAGATATTGTCAATCAGAAACTCAAGCATCTTCTTGATGTCAACTTCAGAGTACTTATGTGTGCAATCAGAATCTGTTTTAACAAAATAATTTTGCAAATGACCAATTACGAGGTTAGTAAATTTACGATAAATTAATTTAAAAATATAATATATCGGGTATATTTTTTTGAAATAATACGAAATTTTTCATCTAAATGGCAGCAAATTTTAGATTGAAAAACTTTGCTGCGAAAAGTGCGTGTGGATACTATTAAAGCATTTAGTAACAGGTAACATACACAATATTAAAACATTTTTTTTTTCAATCCCGCCAAAAATTATATCATCAATGCATGTACACTGTTAAAATTAAATAGTTTATGAATAAAAAATTATTGGAAGTAAAGATTTACATTTAAGAAGATAAACCTTTGGAGAGTTTGATAGATACACACTACCGTGCTAACCTGTCCGGTACTATCTAGTATTTTTTTTCATATATGATAAATTTCCAATCTTTCTCAAGATCAGTTGCTTAGTTTCACTTGCCCTGCATTTTTATTACATGTACAAGGGGTTATCAAAAAGTTCGTGGACTAGCGCCATCAAATTAAAACAGCTTTAAGTACATCAATGAATTTTAAAATACATGTATATATTTAGCGTCATTTTTTCTATCTAAAGAATAAACCATAAATCATAGATTTTATTTTTTAATAAATTAGTAATGTTTTTGTAAGCAACGGTTTGTCCAGGCGGCGCAACCTCGAACACGACGTTTTTGCGACCTATGTCTAACAGAGAAAAACTCTTTTGATATGAAAATTTGATATCCAAAAGTCCTGTTCATTCGGGTATTTGTTGGGACATAACTGTTCCATAATAAATGAAATTTTGAATTTAAAAAAGTTTTGCCCCTGACAAAATTTGGTAAGAAATGTAAACTGGTTTCAGAGAAATAATATGCATCTAGGGTACTTGTTATTTAATGTCAAAACAGATCAAGATTCAGTGAGAAAAGGGATGAATAGTTAATATCGAGTTGTAGTCAAGATATGAAAAATCAATCATGTCAAAAATGATGTTGATTATGTGTTGTAGATATTGAACTCCCAAAAGCAAAATATGCTAACACAATCAAGCGAGGATCTCTCCCAATGTATAAATCCATTTGGAATGTTATATTCATTGAAAGCCGCTGTTCATGAACTTGTAAAGTCATATTAACAAGGCAGGTTTAAGGTATCCGATCCATATTAGCCTCAGATTCAATGGAATTGAATGCATAATAGATACGTACATTACTCAGTGTAGTTAGAACTAATTTTCATCTTTCAGTATAAAAATGTAAGGATGGGACATGTCCTAATTTATGACCTTTTCCTGCCCTTGACGAGTTCTCTCCCTTTAATTTTAGTCAATAAAAATTATTTTTAAAAAATCTGTCTGGTAAAAGAAAATATTTCGAATTGTTTTTCTTCCCAATTATCAAATACATCTTTTCATTACATCATTTTTTGAATATTTGAAGTATTTATTTTTTTATCTTAAAAAACTTACTTCCTTCCATAGACTTCAATGCAATTTTCAATAATTTATTTCTGCTTAGGTAATAAAATTTTTGAAAATTTCTCTTGGTAAATCCCTTTCTACTCTAAAATGCTTTAAAATAATATCAGGATATTTTACAAACAATTGATATTTAAGGTTAGAAATTTTGGTCCTTAAGTCCTTACTCAGCTCCGGGGAATCTCATCAAAATAAGTGTATGAGGTAGAGGAAGCGGACATTGAAAAACAAAGACGTTGTCAGACGTCATGAAACTAAACGGCGACAGCGCCGGGTGATCATAAAATGTCGTTTTGCTTTTATAATAATTTGGTAAATAATGTACGCATCAAGCTAAAATTTTCAACATTTTTTTGTTGTTGTTGTTGTTTTTATGTTCCATATAAATGTTGAAAGCACAGACTACATAGTGTTAATTTTATAGCCTCAGTCCACGAACTTTTGATATCCCCTCGTATCTATCGCATGAATCTTTATTTTCATTTTTGATTTTATTTGACAAACTTTTCTTCCTTCCTTTAACTTCCCAATCTTTATTTTGTTTCAATATCGCATGTACCGATGCAAGATATTATTGTTTTGCCCTTTTACTTCCCTTTGATTTCCCTTTCTTTATCATGATTTTAAGATGATGAATTTTGATAATTTTTATCTTGTGTTTTTTTTCTTTAATTGTGATTCTCTTCAATGATTGGACAGAAATTAGTAAATATTTGTTTTCAATAATATTTTTCCCGTGTCAATTTAGGCGGGGAGGTGCGTCCAAAAGGCCAAGAAAAAATATATAGACAAATTATGAAGAACATAAAACGTACCATGAGCAGAAACAATCTTGAAATTTTTGAAATACTAAACAAATTTAGAAATATATCGTTTAATTTGGCAAAGTCAAAATCAACAGCATTTTTAAGCGATCACTTTGTATCACTATGTGTTTTATAATCATTCCTTCATGTTTAGTAGTCAATTTCAAGACTACCGATGTTGACCAATATCCCAATCAGTTGTTATTCAACTACAGTCCATATTTGTATATTATTTCCACTTTGATCTTCTTATTTGTACTAAAAGTGTTTTAAGTGTTTTTTTTATTGTCATATTTGGTTTTGAAAGCTGCTACGGTATCATTAAGTCACAAAAAAAAACCAATTCACTTATCACACTTAATGAAAGTTAATTTTTATTGCTGTTCAAGGATAAAAACTTACTGCTCTTCAATATTTTATCGGAGGAGCAAATATCAATTGTGTTAACTTACAGTATTTTCAACATAAAGAATATAGAATAAACTTTAATGCATACAACAATTATTCATTGTATTTTGTAATTCATAAGATTTCTGCATTATAAAAACTGAAGCGATCGTTTGATCTAAAAGTTTCAGTTGTCGTTAGTTAGTAATAAAGTTATCATCATAGTAATGCATGATCTGAAAACTTTTCTTTAATTTTTTAAATCAAGGACATACACATAGATTCTGACATTAGATATGTTATCAATGGGTTTTTTTTCTTGTTAGATTACCATAAACGCAATTGGTCAATCGCCTCAAGCGTAATATCCTCCAGAAAGAGGGGGGTTATATAAAAAGGAGCCCCCAAATCAAAGAATAAGCTGTGCATTTACATATAAAAACAGAGCTGACACCCTAAAACCTCAGCCTTCCAAGGTAAGTTAACATCAAATGTTAATTTTTTTTCCTAAATGTTTTTGAGGGTTTCAAATACCTAAAACATATATTATATGAAAGCGTAAGCTTTAAGAATTATTATAAGGCACTGCATTTTTTACTTAAAATCTTCACGTATAACATCAAGCTCCAGACAGCTCAGTATTACGTTCCGTTACACCTCATACCAAGTAGTCCCGGAGAGTTAATACTGTATGGAGTTTGGTACAACATGTATAATAAATATAACAATCCGTTCTCAAAGCCTGTTGAATACAGTTTGAACCAACAGCATTGCTTTTGTCTCAGTTAATGTGATTTATTCTTACAATTTTACCTTCAGAATGAGCTCAGAATAATTAAATACTAAATATAAACGGCAATGCTTGGGAACAAACAATCCGGCATTCCTCTTTCAAAATTGTCTTCCTTCAAAATTGTAAATAACTGTCAAACTTATTATTAGGACACATACACAGTAGTTTAAACAGTTTTGAATAACAATAAACTGAAGCTAAATGAGGCTCACGGTTTTATACTGAAATTTGACAATTTATGTAAATTTTAATTTGGCCCCACCAGCCAAAGTGATAAGGAGATCGCTTAATCGTTATTGCAGATAAATAACTGCATGGTTTATTGATCAGAATTAATATATGACCGGATGTTTTATAAGGTTCAAGTGTTCTTCCATGATGGTAATTAGCTATATTTCAACTGCTGTATCTACAGTGCTTAGAATTTTATATTAAATCTTACTTGTATTGTCGCCCTCTTAATAAAACAATATGCTCGTAATTTTATATTAAAATCTTACTTGTCGCCCTCTTGTTAAAACAATGCGTACAAGCATGGTTATACATTATGTGTTTGCCTTGTTTACAGAATGGCGAGCTGGGTATCAACAAGCGGGTCAAGCATACCACCCGAGGCAGTAAGAGCTGGATATGAGGCTGACGGAAGACCACTTTTTATTGCAAGGGCTATCATGAGTGGCACCATGACACCCGGGAAATGCGGGTATCATCTTGATGGAGCCCGTATTCCATATGCCTCGAGTGAGCACATCGTTAATTGTTATGAAGTTCTAGTTTTTCCTTCAATTAGTAATGGGTTTTTAGATTGGCAGAAATGTTCTAACGGCTACGTGCCAGACAACGCTTTCAAGACGGACGACGGGATCTATGTCGGTAGAGCGTACCATGAAGGGAGCCTAGTGCCAGGGAAAATCCACGTTTCTCACAAAACTGCCTACGTCAGTTATGGGGGAGATGAACACGCTATTAAAGATTACGAGGTGCTCACGGAGGTCAAATGAAGTTTCTACGACGATTAAAACAATTCTGAAATGAAATCCAGCTTATCGGTCTTGTTTTTGTACCTCAGAATAACATCTATCAATATTATCTGCATGTTCTCTTCATTTTTTTTTTATTTTCTTCTCTCAAAGTAAAAGCAATAAAGATTTTATTCATCTTGCATATTTTGGTCTCTCTTTTTTTCAAATGTAAATTCTTCGTACATGTACATTTATGGTACAGCAAGCAACACGTAAATTTCTTTAAAAAATTAAATTAATTTAATTTAAGCAGAATGCTACAGTTCAGATTAAATAAAATCTTCTCTGCTAGCGTTTTCATTCATGTCGGATTTGTAGACAGCAGAGAGAAATCGAAAAGGGTTATCGACTGAAAGCGCTAACAGTAAAGATTGAAATGAATTTGATTTGTAGCATCGTATGAGGAATATAAAGGCGTATAGAGGTTAATGGACAATCTTAGTCCAAAGGCCGTAAATAAAAGCAGCGTGACAAATTTGAAGCGAATATTTGACAATCTTTCAAAAACAGTCGTTACAGGGACTTAAGCATGTGTCAACTTATCACTCATAAGATGAGAAAAACTGACTTTAATTCAGTAAAATGGAGAATTTCACGCGTAAAAAAGGATGGAGAATATACCACTCCCGTACCCATAGCTACCGCAAGATTTTGACCAAAGTAATTTTTTTCCTGTTAATTTTTTTATCACCTGTCAATAGTTGCTAGAAGATCCTGTTTATTACTGGAATTGTTCCGTCAGTGGTTTTTTTTTTAATTTAGAATATAAATGATATACAATATTTTAATATCGAGCGAAATCCTAGTTGAATAAAACGTCTCTACCAAGTGCTTAAAGTTCAAATATATATTGTAAATGAAAAAAGATAGATAGCATACATGTATTAGGTTAATTTTTAAAATGTCTGCAATACTGTTTGATACATAAGTTGAGTAATAAATTGAAACTTTTATTATAGAAAATTGATAAACTTATAGTGATTACTTTCTATTTCTATTTTCTCGAGCGTGTTCTTACTACAGTTGTGCAGTTAAATATTGTATACTTTTTCTTTAGGTTCATTTTGGCAAACTAGGAACACAATGTAGAAACATATTAGACTTACTTTTCCTTTGATCTTTAATTCATTCGAAATTGAGATATATCCCATACTTTCATAATGGAATAAATAATTTTTCTTCATGAAATCTAAACATAACGAGCAAAAAATATTATCTTAAATGTTCATTGAAACCAAAACAAAGTGAAAACACCAGTCGGATCAGGTGTAAGCATTTCCTGACGAAATGTCACTTACATCGTATGTTCCTTATCATGATTGGGCAAACTGAAAACATAGAAAATAGAGTATAAAAATAGTTATATATAATAGACTACCGACGACATACACGAAAATATAGAAAAAGATAGATGTAATGACACTTGCTTCTTAATTCAATATTTTACTAGATATAAATATTTTATTTGCATGTCAAAGTAAAAAAGAGTGTCAATTTATTTTACACTTAACATGCTTCTTTATTTCTTTACGAAGGATTTCATTAGTCAAAATGTAGAATGCAAAATTGAAAATTATAAAATACAAATGGAAACGATCGAAGATTGCAACAACTGACAATTTAACACTTTCTATTTTAAGTTATGCACAAAAACTGATAATCTTTTTAATATGAAATATCAGCTTTGGTTCAGTATAAAGAGACTTGATGAAAGGATTTCCTAAAATCAATTGGCACTTCTGCCTCTCTCAACTGCATATAATTACTTCTAAGAAAAACATTCAGGGAAAATCCATACTCGTGTAAATTTTGCTTACAAGGATACAAATTTCAATTTATTACTCTGAACACTTTAGTTAGGCAAGAAAAATAACTCAATTTAAGATTTGTTATAATTTGGCACAAAGGAAAAGCTTAGAAAGCAGCCCATTCAAGATTTGTTTCAAGTGAATGTATCTTTATCTTCATGCAGTTTCAAAGTCAAATTCCACATGCTTGTACACATGTATTAAAATCAAAATGTTACTAAATTATTTACGACAAAATATTACCAATATTTCAACTGCTATTTTTTAATTGAATACATCATAATTTCAGACAAACAAAGCTTGTTTAACTATAATTCATAAAAAGTTTATATTTTGAAACAAATAAAGAACCACGAACGATAGTATTGTTCTCCCGCCTACCTCTAAGTCAATTTTCAAAAGTTAACAAATAAGAATGATTTTCAAAATTTTTATAGATAATTATATGAATTTTCATAAAACGTTACTTATTTGGGATATCAAAGAGAGATAAATCTATAATTTTGGCAAAACTTGTGTTTTTTACTATAGAAATCAACGGAAAACGGAAAATATTTTTAAAACATCTTTCCTCCCCATGAAACAAAAATTCCATTTTACAGGTAATATGGACTCTCATTTTACAAATTTATGCCAAAGCTTTTGGTGTTTCACGGGGGGGAACATATGTTTATAGACAAAAAACGAAAAAAATGCGGATTTTTCACCAATTTTAAAGCTATTTACAACTAAATAATTGTATTTTATTAATTAATATATGTTTTAATTATTTGCGTAAAACATAAGAAAAGATATTAGATACATTTTATCATATTTAAAACTATTTCAAAATATGGTGATCCTTGAAAGTTCGATTTCACTAGAAAATATCGTCTACCCCCCTTTTTTTCAAGAACTGGAATTAATGATAATTTACTATCTAGCACTGGAATTAGAATGATTAATCAATTACCATAGAACTGTTCTTTGTATTAAACAAAGATTTAATGGCCAGATTGCCATTAAAATTTAATGCAAAATGTAGGCGGGAATTCGTAGTTCTTAATGTTAATATAGGGAGCGTGCCGTTTTATTTATGAAAAATATTTCAAGTTAATGAAGTAATGAAAAACAAAATTGGTTTTGGTAAATAAAATGCAAATTTAGTTTAAAATGATACTTTATCACGGTATAATATAATGTTTAAAATATACTTTATCATGGTATAATATAAAGTTTAAAATATTTGAATTTATTAAAAGTATGTCGTATATTGCATATTACAATTTATTCTATTTGATGTCAATCCATAGTTGATCAAGAAAAGATATACATAAGATGGGTTATTTAAAAAAAAAAAATTCTTAAGAACTATTGCGCCAGAAATTAAAAGATGAAACATACGCGGGCACTTCCTGAAAAATAAGCTAAAATATATTTTTAAAAAAGGAAAGGAATCCAGAATTATTAAAATAATTAAAAAACCAATTATTTGTCAACATATAAAATATGTGTATCAAATTATATATGACGCCTGTATAAAGAAAAAAGATTTTTCCCCTCTTTTTTTATTTCTAACTACAAAGCCATATCAGTTATAATTGATATTTAAGCATCCCGACAATGTATACATTCAGAAATCACCTAAAATTAAGATGAAACATGGTAGGTGGTCACATTTTAATGGGAAAAGATGGTTGATATAATAACCTTGTCAACCAAAACAGTTTATCATTGAGTCAAATGCTGTCTGAATTTCTAATACTGATTGTTAGGTCATTATTAACACACTGAGTTGTCCACATATTTTTTCCGTTTTTTTTCTCGAACATAAAAAGGAGCAAACGGCAAGTGTGACCGGTCAGCTTGAGATGTTCACTCCTCCGTAGCACCTGATCTCTGTCTAATTTCCTCATTATTTATTCCTTTTCTATTATGCTTGTAAACATGTATAAAAATTGTAACTAAATTTACGACAAAATATTACTAATATTTCATCTGATATTTTTTAATAGAATACATCATAATTTGAAAAAAAAAAGCTTGTTTAACTATAATTCATAAAAAATTTTTAACAAATTAATCAATGTATATATAGGGAGTGTGTCGTTTTATCCGAGAAAAATATTCAGACAATGAAGTAATAAGAAAGAAAATCTGTTTTGGTAAGTCAGATGAGGAATCTCGAAAATAAAATGCAAATATAGTTTTAAAATACTTTATTGTGGTAAAATATATTGTTTAAAATACTTGAATTTATTAAAAATGATATTGCACAGTGCATATTACATTTTATTCTATTTGATGTCATAGTTGATCAAGAAAAGATAAAAATAAGATGGGGTTATTAAAAAAAAATTTTAAGAACCATTGCGCCAGAAAAGGTATTCATACGTGGATGCTTCCTAAAAAAGTTAAATTATGTATAAAAAACGAAAGGAGTAGAGAAATATCCAAAGAACTAAAGAACCAATGATTTTTTTGAAAATATAACAATGAGTGGTGTTTTTTTTTCATTATGGACTTCGGATAAGAGTTGACTGAATTCAAGGATTTAATTATATATATCACGCCTGTATACAGGAAAACAATTCTCTGTTCTATGTTGCTTTCTAACTGCAAGTCCATATTACTCATATTGATATTTAAGCATTCCAATGATGTCTATTCAGAAACCACTTAAAATTAAGATGGAACATTGTTAGGAAAAGATGACCTTGTCAACAAATACAATTTATCATTGAGTTAAATGGTGACTGACTATTTTCATACTGATTGTTAGTCCATTATTTACAAACTGAGTTGATTTTTCCTTTTTTCCCGAACATAACAAGGATCACATGGCGTACGTGACAGGTCGGCAGGGGATGCTTACTCCTCCATGACACCTGATCCCACCTCTGTGTTTTAAAGGTCCGTGGTTGTTTCGCTCCTATTTTGTATTGTTTAATGGACTTCTGAGCTCGAATGCTGTTCGTTAACTCCACATATTTCATATTAAGTTTTAGAAAGCCCATAAAGAAGAGAGGGGCATGGGTGAACGTTGTGGCGCATGAGCCCTTTTAAATTGAACAGGCACACAACTTTACAATTTTAATATTCCCTTTTGTTTTAAAGAAAAGATCAAGAAATTCTCCCCATTGTTTACCATTTATAGTGTTGATAACTGATGTTGATCAATTTTATTGTAAAAAAAAAAATTCATAAACAGCATTAAGAAATTCTTCCTTGCTGTTTTTTCTCAGGGTCGCATCGGAAGTTTATGTTAAAAAGGGTTTTTTTGGAATATCTGATACAGTATCTGAAGGCCTCAGACGATGTACTGAAGAACTATAATTATAGATACCACACTTCTATTTCAATTTCCTAATTAAATTCTTTTTTCATTTGGTACTGACGCCTATGTTTGGTTGTGTGAATACCATTTCCTAGTTACAAGTTCTATACAACCTACGAATATAGGAGCTTTGCAAACATATTTTTTATAGATAACGTTACATTGGTAAATTTACGGTGGGCTTTATAAACTTAGAATTTAAAAGAAATATAATACAAATTCTCTCTACCTGCATCTTCCAATCTTGGGTATCGAAAATATTAATTCCTTCTTGTGGGCTAAACGAAAATAATCAGTTTTAAGAAATACACCCTAATTTGTTAGAATTTTTCCAATAGCGATTTAAAAAATTAGCATGCGAAAAAAGTTTTCAAATATCAATATAAAATTTTGTGTATCCCATGATTCACATCATGTAAAATTTAGAAATATTGATATAAAAAAATTAATAGTAAAATCAAAAGCTCCAGACAACCATCAGTTTTTTATTAAATCGTTACGGTATTTCGTTGACCCGCGTTTAAATCGGCACTGCATGATTCTATAAGTCATCCTTTCCCACAAATGAAAATTTTTGCAATGCCATTCAAGTTTGAATAGTTTACAAGATACTGGTTGATGTAAAGTTATATGTTAACAAAGAAAAAAATTAAACTTTGCATCGTTTTACATGCAAAACCATTTACTACGTTAAATTAGCGATGCTGCTCCGGGTCGATGACATATGCATGTTTATCAATTTCGAAACTTTTATATTTATATGAAATTTTGCATAATTATTTTATACTTTCTTTATACAATGTTTGAATTTTATGAAATTATTAAAAATGTCATTGTCTCAATAATTTGTGTTACTTTGGTAAATTTACGGTGGGTTTTATAAACTTCATTTAGACATATAACACAAATTCTCTCCCTTCTTCCAATCTTGGGTATTATTAATTCCTTCTTGGGGCTGAACAAGTATCATGTTTAATAAATACACCCTAATTTGTTCCTTTTACCAAATCGATTTCATTAGCATACAGTTTTCAATATCAATATAAAACCCATGATTCACATCATGTAAAATTTAGAAATATTAAATACTTCTAAAATTCCCCAGTTTCCTGAAAGCAAGATAATCTATGAATAACAAGTGCGTGTTCTTAACGGTCTACAAGTAAATACAAAAGGAGGAAGAAGTTTCGATTTTTTTTCCTTTTTGTGGTGGTATCTTGTCATATTAATAATAGCTCCCACTGTCAGTATTGCAGAACCTAGTGTAAGTACAAAATTTATCTCTCCAATTCTCTCAAAGGCATGTCTTTTCACCACTCGCATTCTAATGTTGTAATATTTGAATGTTAATTATGAAGATATGTAGAAAATAATGTTAGTCCCTCAACGATATGTGTCAGAACAGTATAGATAGGATTCCTTATGTGACTTACACTGTATATTACTTTTTTGCTTTTAAAGAAATTTTTAACAACCCTCCCCCCTCCACACACACACACACACACACACACACACACCCTACTGTATGCACATGACCTGCCACAATATTTCACAGCATATAATTGAATAGATTATTTATTCCTAATCATCTTAACATTTAAGTGCAAAGCCATGCTACATCAAATTGTTTTTCTCAATCAGAATGGCAGTTTGGGTAACAACATTTGGGTCGCACATACCAGAAGGAGCAATGAGAGGTGGATTTGAGGCTGATGGTCGACCTCTCTTTATCGCTCGGGCACAGATTGAAGGAATCATGACGCCCGGAAAATGTGGATTTCACCTTCCTGGAGCGCTGTTCCCATTCGGCATGACAGAACAATCTTCCTATATGTACGAGGTGCTGGTCCATCCAACAAGAAGTCGCGATTTTTTCGACTGGCAGAGGGCTTCCGAAGGCAAGGTGCCGCCAAATGCTTACAAGACGGACAAAGACACGTATATTGGTAGAGCTTTCTACCAAGGAAATCTATTGCCAGGGAAAATTGCCACGGGACATCCTCACTGGTGTGCATACATTGGTTATAGAGGGAATGAAATTAGTACGAAGGATTATGAGGTTCTTTGTCAGTTAAAATAAAACTGTGCGAAAATTTATGAACGCTTTCATGAATTGATATTTGTAAAAGAATTAATGTTGTGTAGACAACAACACCAGTTTCTGTGAAATTATTTAAATTGAGGGGTATTTTTAGTGGAAGGAAAAAATATTTGCCTCGAGGGTATTTGATATTGTGGTTTAAGAACAACTAAATTGTATTTTGAAATTTTAATATTTCTTATAAATTCCAGGATTTTTTCATGAAAACATTAATAATTGAACTCCTAAAAAATTTGTGATTTCACAGTTTCCTCATAATTGAAATGCAGTTAGTTTTTAAGCATCGTTTAAGGAGGAAGAGCCAGTAAGATGAGGAAAAAAAATGGACAATAAATATTTCCCATAGTTTATAAAGAACGAGGGCGCTTTTGATTGGCATTTGGCAGGAATCTGGGCGTAATTGAAAAGTGAAAATTTTATTGACATGTCACATGAAATTTTATAATTTTTTTAATTTATCGGATTCCTGTGCAACAGGAAAGGAAAATATTTTCCCGAAATTAAGCTTTCGTTTGCTAAAAAAATAACTTGAAAATTGGCCAAATCAGACATTTGGTACAAAATGGTACATTTTTGAACACGTTTTTCTTAAATTTTTCTATCTCTGGGTCTTCTCTCCATGATTTTGAAACGTTATTTTTGTGTATTTTAATTCAAAGAAACGAATACACTTTTTTAAAAAATGGAGAGAAGACCCAGAGACCACGAAAAATTAACTTTTTCCAAAAAATCCAAATGTGTGAATGTGGTGCTTCTTTGTCCTTTTAAAATCAACTCTATTCATGTAGCGGTGATAGCTCAGTAAGTTGGGCCCATGTTCAGTACACTCGAAGCGGAAAGTTTTTGGTTCGAGCCTGGCAAAGGGCGTTATTTTTTTCATGCAAACAACCATTTATTTTGTCTGTTTCGTTTTATGTACTGATGTATTAAAATTTTGAATTAGATAAATTTTGGTTCAGTTTGGTTCTCGAGCAAAATCAATTTTAATCTTCTAATCTATAATGTACATGAACAAGTATTATGCATCTATGCATTAAATATTTTAGGTGTTTATTTTTTGTGAAACATTACTAATGTTATTGTAACCCCTAGGAAAAACGGACATAAATGTTAAAATTTCACAAGGTCTTTCAAACTAAATGAAAAAACCTATGGACGTGTTCGTAAAATCTGACCAGCTATGTTCAGCCAACCAAATCATGGACATTTAAACCATAAATGTTTCGTACAAATGATTCCTGCAGATCACTCGCCAAATGCGCCCATCTTCTTACTGGTTCAGTTAGTATGTCCTCCTTATCCTATTATAGCTGTTCTCTCATCAAATTTCTTGAACTTTTTAAGATATTTCACTGAAAAAATATATATAATTGAAGTTTAACCTCTTTATCTTATCAGATCCTTTAAAAAATATATAGGCAAAGATCTCAACAGTATTTTTTACGAATTCATTATACCAGTTCTATTATAGACGAAATGACCCAATGAAGAAACACAATCTGTTACTGGGTCAAATGCTGAATGATGATTTGTTATTTTGTTATTGCCACGTCATTATGTACACACTGAAATTTCTACAGATTTTCCCGTTCCCCGAATTATAAGCTCACGGTACACTACTCGATCCATGGCACCTGATTAAATCTTATCCCACCTCTGGTCTTTTTGTTCTTGTTTGCTCTGCTCCAAATTTGTATTTTTGAAATGGACTTTCAGCTTTAAACCTCATCATCCAGTCACACCCGTCGGTGCTCCTGTGAATAGGAAAATCCCTAAACAATTCAGTTTGTAAATTATAGCCTAACAATTACAATGTAGTATGAAAAACATCCATTAGCATTGGGCTTAATGATAGATATTTGCTGAAAAGGTCATTGCATAGACCATAGAATTTGCAAAATGATTACTTTAAACGAGTCTGTTCATATTCTTGTTCCATAAATTTGTTTGTCATTTACTTACCTCGTTTAAAAATGTTCGTGAGTTGAACATGCTCTTGTATATATCAAACAATTGAGAAATAATTACCCCGAATTTAGATTATTAGGGTATATTGCTACATATCTAAGGGAAGTTGACGATTGAAAAGTTGAAGTCATTATATTTATCAGAAAACTTGATTGCTAGGTTATCATTAACGTCTTTTCATAGTAAAATATCCAGATATGATGCACATAACTATGTGTCGGTTTTAATTCAAGTTCACGGGGATATATAGTGTCAACGTACGAGTGAAAATAACTATTGTTAATAGATTATACGTCGTCTTCGAACACCTAGAAATCGAGTTGAAGATCATCGCTATTGACTAAGTCCTCTTTCCTTGGCGGAAATTCGTAGAGATAACTTGTGCCATATCTATCCTTACACCTGTTTAGTGTGAATTCTATGCAGATTGATCTCAACAAAATTAATCTTTTTTGCTCTTTCCTTCTTTTTATTTCTAAATGTTTACATTCAGTCTAATTTTCCTTATGAAATCCGTAAGAAATCTACGACGTTCAAATTTCTATATCACAAAGGGAAACCTTGTCAGCGCGCGTTAGAATACACAGTAGGAACTATATGCATTTTCAATACTCTCGGAACACCAAAATGTAAAATGTTTTATTTCAATTTAATGAAAAACTACACCCCTGAAAAATTAACGTAAAATTAACGTAATGTGCGTTAGAAATTAATTTGTCACTTTTTCCTCGTAATGTTTGCGTTATTTAACTTTGCAACGTCATTTAACGTCATTTGACGTCACACACGACTCTTACACCTATTTCCCACGGCAGTTTTGAAGGGCGCTAAATTCACATTTAAGATTAACGAAATAAGCAATTATGAAGAAGGAAAATTAGAGAATGTAAATATAAGCATTGAATTCATATTTTTGGATGCTAACGCGCGGTATTCAATTTATCGGCACGGCCAGGTGTGTTATAGGACCGAAGACATCCAAAAATATGAATTCAATGCTTAAATGAACACCTAGTATGTCTTTTTTCTAAAAAAAAAAAAAGAAAAGAAAAGAAAAAAAAGAAAAGAAAATAGATGTTTTAAAACAGGCGCTTGTTTGGTATTCAGATGAACCCTACTTATTTTTACCAAACGGTACCTGATTCAATTTAAGCCAAACCCACTTCAAGCCAGTACTTTATCAATACATCGATCAATTAACCCTGCTTTAATAAGACATCTTCGCTTCTAGCAGTTTATTCCTTTAAATTTTAAGAATTTAGATTGGATACAAGAACTTCCGGTTATTGGTGTAGTGTAGGATGAAACCAGGTGCTTCACAAAATCAGAAGTCCCTGGTTTAACCATGCACTATCTATAAATAACCGGAAGTTCTACTGTCTGTCCCATCTGACATGTCTAAAGTTTTATCATGTCGTAAGGTAATTTTCGAGGAATAAATAAGTGTTTTACAATGAAGAGAATTGATCAAAGACGTCTTGAACGATATGTTAGAAAAGAGGGAAGTCTCTAGAAGTGAGATATATCTTATTGAAGCAGTTAATGAATGATGAATTGATAAAAATACTGGCTTGGAGTGGGTGTGGCTGAAATTGAGTTTGGTGGTACCTTGTACTGAAAATAAGTAGGAATGCCCTGTACACGAAAGAAATGTCTCTGTTTCAAACACAAGCTTTGAAAATCTTTTTGACATGAAACTTTGAATTTCATGATAATTGATAAATTTTAACAAGGAATTAGGTTCAGACTGTAAATTGTTTCTAGATTTAGTAAATATTTGCATTTTGTGTACGTCTGAAAAGATGCAGTTATCCATTTATACAAATTTATTTTCAGGCCTCATGACAGAAATGAGAAAATCATTAGAAATATATTACTATAATTAAATGAAAATATAAAAATTAAAAAAAAAAGAGAGAAAGAAATGTGCTTTTCAAATGACCCACACCTGCTTTGTTATTTTATGTTTTCCCTTCCCGAAATGCATAGTTTTGAACGGACCAAATCATCAAATTATAATTGAAATATGTTGAATTACAGATTTAAAAATTACGATGTTTTCTCTCCTACTTGATATATTTTCCCTTTCTTTTTTATCCAACTCTTTCCTATTTCATTCATATATCATCTTTATGTTACATATAAATTATATACCTCTGACCAGTTGTATATATAATGTATATAATTTTGTTATTTGAACCCCATTTATCAATCGTGGTTTGGGTGAATAAAATGAACACGAACTTGAACAAATGAAGTTGAACATTGATACACTGTAATTGCTTGAATCTTTATCCATTAGATACATGAAATAATAATTCCTCCTCTTGTATTCAAGCACAAAACAGGGAACATATAACTAGGAATTTCCTTTAATGCTATAAAAAGCATGATATTTTTGAATTATTTTGCTATTTTGTCTCTGGAAAACTCAAAGACATTTGTTGTTTATCAATAAATCATTTGTAAAAGAAGGAAATAACCCAAATTATAAAAATATGCAACTTTTTATTTGCAATCTTAAAATTTTCTGCATCTGTTCATACACTGGTCATTTGAAGGTCTGTATCATTTTCTTTTGAGATTTTGATTTTTTTTCTTGAAAGTTTTGAATTTTTAATGTCTTATTTTAACCGCGTATTAGAATACCCTAGTTTACCAAAAGTTAAAGTACAAAACGATACTCATAAAATTCATAGTGGCAATCTCATTTACTGAATTTATTTTAATTAATTACTCACATTTATAATATCTATACTTTACTTAAAAATTGTTTTGTGTGTACAAAGTTTCAATTCATAATTATAATGTGTACACTTGTTGTTCGTTCATTTCTATGTATTCTTAACAGGCACTTTTTTCGGAAATAAATTTAACCCATAGTATCAGATCAAGTTACCCCAAGTACCATCCAACTTTTCTAGGTTTCCAACTTTTAATCCAAGTTTGGAAGAAAATCTTTATTACTAATGGTGCTTTCATTTTAAGTTTTGTACACATGGTCCTGTACTTTTGTAAATTTTGAAATATTTCCCCTATTTTCGTACATTTGACCCCCTCCCGCAAACACACGGCTATAGTTCTTGAAAAATTAAATTCTACCACAGACATGCTGCTAGCAATTTAACTGATGTCCATTTGACATTCTCAATTTATATACTTCTATTGTTAGTATATTATTTTTTTTTTCAAATTTCAGTATGGCAGTTTGGGTTACAACAACCGGGTCAAACATACCAGAGGGGGCAATAAGGGGTGGATATGAGGCGGATGGGAAACCACTTTTTATTGCCCGAGCACAAATTGAAGGCGTCATGACGCCTGGAAAATGTGGAAATCACCTTCCTGGAGCTCATATTCCATATGGCATGAAGGAACAAATCTTCAAACAGTACGAAGTGTTGGTTCATCCCTCGGGTAATCCTGGATTTTTAGATTGGCAGAAGGTTTCTAACGGCAACGTGCCACCGAATGCCTATAGGACCGACAATGATACGTATGTTGGGAGAGCTTTCTACCAGGGGAGTTTAGTGCCAGGGAAAGTTGCTTCTTCTGAGCCTCACAAGTGTGCATACATCGGTCACGGGGGCCAAGAAATCAGTGTAAAGGAATGTGAGGTTCTGTGTCAGATGAAATAATTTGGGAACAATATTCTGATTTCGTGAAAGTATAAAAATAAATTTCGAAGGAATAAAAATGAACTTGATATCTATTGAAAAGCAGAGTAAAAATAATACATAGTAAAAATTCTTGTACATTATAAAAAGAATCAAGTTTTTATAAAATTTAAGCTTTGAATTTGAAATAAGCAAAAACACTAATGTAGATAAAAGTTTATAGATTTTTTCCATTTTAACTTGAAGTTTTTAGGTTCTGGAAAAGTGAAAGAAAGATGATGTTTATCTTCTTTTTGTCATTATAACCTTTCTTAATATAAGTACAAAGATGGAATAGAAAGTTAGTGAATCAGAGGCCCTCATGATAGAGTTATTACTACGTGCAACATATCTTCCAAACCATTTCTGTTCGTGAAAAGAGAAAAAACAATACATATTGTTTTAAAGTAGATTTAAAAGTGAATAAAATCTCAAGTTCAAGGTCATGGTGTGAGGGCAACTGTTACTTACAAAGTTCTTTCAATAAGCAACATAATGTTCAAAAATCGTTTTTTTCCCATTTACCCTGAAAATGACTGAAAGAGCATCTGATGTCATAGGAGGAATTATGATAGAGTATACACTTTATTGAATGATATGATTAAAAATGTGAAGTGAAAAGAAGGAAATACACTGTAAAATTAAAACAATACAAATAAGGAGCAGAAAAAACACGGATTTCCAAATAAACCTGAGGCAGGATCAGGTGTCATGGAGAAAAAACATCCCCTATTGACCGGTCTCACCCACTTTAAACTCCTTGCACAGGCACTTGACGTTTTTAACCTTTTCCTTTCATAAATAAAAATATCCCTTGTACTATAATAATAGTATATGGGGATATTTTTATTTATGAAAAGAAAGGTTAAAACGTCAAGCGCCTGTGTCTCCTTGTCATGATCGAGTAACTGATCTGTAAATTCTACGTCACAGTCCATATCAATCTTCAATATATTGAGTGGGAATTCAGTCTGAAAAATCAATTTCAATGCAGCTATATATATATTTAAATTTCCCCTGTTTCCTTATCGCTAATTTAGAACAGGGAATACAATATTGGAAATTTTGGATCAGAGATTATTGAAACGATATATTTTAAGTACATTTTGCTAAATTTGTCTCTACTTCTGTCTAAATCTAATATATTATTTCCTTCAGTGATTAAAATCGTGTAAAAAAAATACTGGTATATATCTTTATTATTTCGGTATAGGAGGAAATATCATAAATTCCATTTAACATTGACACTCAAAACTAGTGATTTTAAATTAACATTCCTACATATTTTTTTTCGCGCTTGTTTTGTACAAACCCTTGTCCATCGATAGGTATGTATTTTTTTTTATTTTGATTAACACCAAACAGAGGTGAACAAGGATCTACGTATCTTAGTGTCGTATTTACATACAATTTTTTATCATTATGATTAACTCACAAATACCATAAAATTAGCAGAAGAAGCCATTATTATGGCGCACGATTCCATAATATTTAAGTTTGATGGAAGTGTACTTATTTTTAACTTCTATACTTCTTGATGGAGGAACTTGAAAAATTAGCTCACAGTACATAATTATTCAGTAATGATCAATGCTAGCGATTGAATGTATGGATATTAAAATATTTTTTCCTCTTGAAATTAATGTTCCACCTATTAACAATATTAAGCAGAACTCTTCTTAAGGTTCAGTTTTTAAAAAGATAAACTGGAATTATATATTCGGGATGTAGAAAGATAAATTTTTAATATAGTGTTACATTAGCAAGTTATTATTTTATCATAAATTTACACATTCACGTGAACTACTAGTATCTTCCTGTTATATAAATACTACAAAAGAGGAAACTATAGCTCAGCCATAATTGTACAGGATACAGCAAAATCCTGTTTGTAAAATTATCAGTAATATTTAAATTTTCATATTTTTTTTTTCGCTATATAAATTAAGCATAGAATAATATTTTATTTTATTATTTAGTTAATATAAAGACTACTCTAAATATTAACGTTTTCATAATTATACCTGAGCTTGAAGGCTCAAGTGAGCTTTTCTGTAATCACCATTTTGTCCGTCGTCCGTCCGTCTGTCCGTCCGTAAACTTTTCACATTTTCGCCACTTTCTTCTCAAGAACCAATGGGCGCAAATTGAAGGCATCAAACTTGGTACAAAGATATCCTTAGGGGAAGGGGAGTTTAAATGTAAAGAGAGGGCTGATCAGCCAGTACAAGGTGTTGAGATAATCTACAAAAGACAAAAATTGGGTGGGGTCATTTAAAAATCTTCTTCTCAAGAACCACTGGGCCAGGAAAGCTGAAACTTATATGGAAGCATCTTTGGATAGTATAGATATTAAATTGTTAAAATCATGACCCCTCGGGGGCAGGGCGGGGCAACAATAGGAAATCCAAATTTCACATAGAAATTTATAGAACAAATTTTTAAAAATCTTCTTCTGTAAGTTTATTTCACTGGGCTTTCAAATGACTGCATATTATTTCTTGTGGATAAAATCCTTGAATAAAAAGTGTGTTAGATATTAAATTGTTAAAACCAAAAATTTCGGGGGTACAAAGTGGCCACATTTCATAGGAATTCCAAGTTTTACATAGAATGTAAAGAACAAATCTTTAAAAATCTTCTTCTCAAGAACCACAGGGCCAGATGAAATTGCTGAAACTTATGTGGAAAAATTCCTTGGGTATTGTCAATTTTAAATTGTTAAAACCATGGAGCTCCGGGGTTGCGTGGCCACAATAGGGAATTCAAGTTTTACATAGAAATGTATAGATACAAATTTTAATTATCTTATTGGCATAAACCACTGGGCATTTTTTTTAGCAAAGTAAAAATCTTGGAAGCATTCTGGGGTAGTGTAGAATAATTGTTGCAAAAATTGGTGCTTGCGTTTCCTTTATGGTTTTTTAAGTTTTACATAGAAATATATTGATCAAATCTTTAAAAATATCTTCTCAAGAACCACTGGGACAGGAAATAAACTGTTATATTATTAACACACTGAATTTGTTCAGTAATATTAAATTTTATGAAATAACACTACGGGTGTGACCGGGGCCACAATGGTATGCCAATTCTTTACATAGATATATTTAGGAAAAATGTTTTAGGAATTTTTTTCTCAGTTTTTCTGCTGTTTCAAGGAAATTTTGACTTGATTATGTGTAAGCATCCTTATTTAGGAATATTCAATTTTATCATAAAGGGTAGGCTTCTTGCCAAAATATGGGAATCCAAGTTTTACATAGACTAAAATTCACACAAAAATTTATAACATTCCTTACATTTACAAAAACACTTGGTCAAAAGCTGAAACTTATGTGAAAGCAATTTCTTGCTATGTAGATTTACAGTATTAAAATCATGAAGGGGATAGGGGGGATGATAGGTATAGCAAGAGGGTAAATCGGGTAAAGAAGTCCATAAAACAAGTTACAAAATAAGAGCATGAGCAAACATGGGCCTCTTGTTATAATTATACTGCTGTGCTTGAACAGAATGGCAGTCTGGGTAACCACCACCGGATGTCACATTCCTGAAGGAGCGATACGAGCAGGGTACGAGGCAGACGGTCGGCCACTTTTTATTGCCCTGGCGCAAATTGAAGGCATCATGACGCCTGGTAAATGTGGCTATCACTTACCGGGAGCCCATATTCCGTACGGATGTAAAGAGAGGATTATTAGCCAGTACGAGGTGTTGGTCCATCCGACAAACGCCTCGGGCTTTTTTGATTGGCAGCGTGCTTCCGGCGGAAATGTTCCTGATACTGCGTTCAAGACTGACAAGGAGACTTATATTGGTCGGGCTCACCATTCGGGGAGCCTTATTCCGTGTAAGATTGCTACAGGGTACCAACATAAATGTGCTTACATGAGTTATGGCGGGAAAGAACATAACACAAAGGACTATGAGGTGCTCTGCACAATCAAATAATTGTAACAAAAAATTCAACTAGTTTCAGAAAGCAATATTGTTCTATATAGGTGTTTATTTCATTCGTACTTTCAAATGACTAGCATATGATTTTTTGAATTAAAAAGTGTGTTATCGATATTCAAATAAACCAAAAATTTCAGTACAAAGTGCTACACATCGTAAGTTTCCAACGATCATATTTGACAATGTAGAAGAAAGAAAAGAGTGAAATACTTTACTCACATCCTCTGCATAGATGAAATTGCTCAGGATAACGTGCAATGATCTATCTGAAAAATTCCAGTCAAAATTGTCAATTTCTGCAACGGCAAAAAATATGGAGCTCCGGAAAACCAATGTTTTGTCCTCATGGTAATTTTGATTGCGTTCAGAAAATGCATCGAATATTGGATGGTTCGTAATTATTTTATCGGCATAAACAAAACCTGCATTTTTGTTATCTATTGTACAGTTTTGAATCTTTTAGCATCCTTTAGAGAGAATAATGTTTGCAAAATTTGGTGCTTGCGTTTCCTCTATGGTTTTTGTAGGTTGTATAGTCGATACAATGATCTTGTCAGCAAATACGTTAACAAGTACTATCTATCATTAAGTTGTTTGTTGACACGTTTTTCATATTAATTGTGAGGTCTTTATTAACACACTGAATTTCTTCATGAATTATTCCGTTTAATGATAAGAAGCACTACGGGTGTGACCAGTCGACATTGTATGCCTTCTCCTCGTAGCACCTGATGCCACCTCTGGTGATTTGAGGTCCGTGTTTATTCTGCTCCCATTTTTCTGCTGTTTCAATGGAATTTTGGACTTGATTATCGTTTGTTTCATTCTTATTTAAGGAATGTTTCACAGTTTTACAGACTTGTCGCGTAGGCATATTTCATAAAGTGCTGTAGTGCTTCTTGAAAAATATGCCTACGTGCAAGTCTTGTGTGATTCACAAACTAATACTTCACACAAAACTTTATAACATTCCTTACATTTACATTTGACATGTCTAAAAGCACCAAAAATATACTCAATGTTTGAATTTCCCGCTGCCCTATGTTGTTACATTTTTACTAACGTAGAAGGATATGGAGATAACGATCGGTATTCAATGTCAAAGTCCATAAAACAATACAAAATAGGAGCAGAGCAAACACGGACCTCGGAAACATCAGAGGTGCCATGGAAGAGTGAGCATCCCCTGCTGACCGGTCACACCCGCCGTGTGCTCCTTGTCATGATCGGGAAATAACGCAAAAATCCGTAACAATTAGTATGAAAAACGTCAGTCAGCATTTGATTCAATGATAAATTGTATTTGCTGACAATGTCATTATATCGACCATAGAACTTACGAAATGATGCCGTTAAATGGGACTGCTGATACTCTTGTTTCATCAACTTGCTTGTCAATAATCGTTTATAAGATTGGATAAAATAGTGGAAGAAATGAACATTTTCACTGACACGGCAGGATCTATAGGTTTTGCTGGAGTAATGAAGAGTGTTTTGCCAAAATAACTGAAAGACATTCAAATATATTAGTAGCTCTTTACAATTATGGTTTTGGTAAATATTGATATTTTTGGTGATAACAAACCATTTTCAGCATCGGCAGAGTCCATGATTGTTAATTTTATTATAAATCAAGTCAGAATTTGAATTAATAATACCGTGCAGGAAGGTCAAATAATTGATTATGTGAAGCAATTTGAAACTTTTTCGGGACCCTGCATCTCCAGTCATGTGCTCTTCTGACTGAGATTGACGACGGATTTTCCGTTATTTCCCGATCATGACAAGAAGCACACGGCGGGTGTGACCGATTGGCAGGGGATGCTAAATTTTCCAAGGCACCTGATCATACCTCTGATGTTTTGGAGGTCCGTGTTTGCTCTGCTCCTATTTTGTATTGAATTTTATTAAGCTTTTAGAAACTAAAAATATACTGGCGTTATTTCCATATGTTTCATTGAACAAACAACGTTTGTGAGATATTGTGACGTCATAATGCCTCTGCACGCACACTGACTCTCCGATGAATACATACATGAATGTCTTCTAATTATAATCCAGTGAATATGTAGTGTTAGGAACTGCTTGCCTTTATATAGATTACTGGTATACAGGGACTCTTTATAGACTCTATGTTAAAATGCTTTAGCCGATTAGCTGTCTAGCTCCTTTTCAATGTCATGACGCCACCAACATTACTTCTGAACTGTAAATGATTAATGACCATAAAAGCACAAGACCAATCATTCAAAAATGATGGGCAGGATTAAATTTTGCATATGTGACAACTACAAAGTCAAATTTTCTGAGTGTTAGTACCACAAAAAGGGTCTTGAGAAAGTGAAATCTTGTTATCTATGATACTTGATAAATCTTTTTGGAATCTTCAAATACAAAATGTAAGCCTGTTTCTTCCAAACAGATTTCCGTGTTCTCTTTTTTTTAACCCTTTTCAGACCACCTGAATATTGGTTTATTACTTTTGACTTGTTTTGATTAAGCCCCATTTCAACTGTTGTGCAATCAAATTCTGTTTAAAAGTCATTAAGTTGCTAACAAGCTTTTGTTACGTAAAATTCCTGCTAAGCGGATTTGATTATTTTTCACCCCATTCCATAGTACGCAAACTATTGATTGATAGATAAACAAGTCGGTTTTAAAGAGTCTAGATTTTTTTTACTTTTCACAATCTATATTTTCAATCAACACTTGGTGTGTGAATATGCAATTTGTGTCTGCAGATAAATCTATTTTGCAAATTCAATCAATTTAAAAGAACTTGTTTAAATATAAGTTTGTTTAAATTTTGACAATGCCTTTTATATCTGATGTATTAGGCGTGAATATATCTGGTATTGTCTCCACCAAGCTTTAACTATTGTCTACAAATGTTAACAAAAAAATCCAGCAATTCCCATTTTTATACTGTAAAATGGTTCGTCACACTCACTTAATTTTAATTCAATCTCCGACTGTTCCTCGGATAAATAAACACTCCTTATCCCTCTGTTATACACAACACGATTATTTTCCTATCGGCATTATTCATATGGGGTATACCTTAGCAGTGATAATTTCCTACCATGAAATTTAGTGTGTATTTACACTGCAAAAGGTAATGGAACTTAGGGGAACAAAACCTGGGAAATGTTGAATAAATACGGCATACCTTTTTTATTGACATAAATTGTGTAAAGATATGCGAAAGAGATTATTGATTGTGCAACAGTTTGAATGCCAAAATAAAATCGGATGCCATTACTGATAATTTAAAAAATCTATCGCCTTAACATCCAATGGTGGCAAAAAGGTAAGGATCTCTCTCTCTCTCTCTCTCTCTCTCTCTCTCTCTCTCTCTCTCTCTCTCTCTCTCTCTGATAGATTAAGGACATACGCAACGTACCTTACCTACTGATAATTTTTCAAGGTATTCTTAATTTAAGGTTATAGTGATATCAGATGTTCAAAGACAAAAAATCAGCATGCATTACCAGGTGTTTTTGAAAGATAAAAATTAATGAAAAGTTTTGGATTATACAAAGAAAAATATGTAAAGAATACTACACATATATTATAGATGTTTCTTTTGTCCAAAATTGTTTTTGAATATGTGTACAATACCATAACGTTGAAATCAAAATATAACACACAGTTCCTTGAAGAATTAGAACTCTTCAGCCCCATGGAAAAAGACAATAAAGTTCAAACTACGTTGCGTATGACTTTGAGTGCTGATCCAGATTTTTTGTATTCAGGGAGGATGTCGAGGTCGATTTTAAAAAAGGACTGTCAGCGCTTCTTCAGGGCAGGAATCCTCGTTCTCAAACAAGGAACATCACTGCTGCAGATGCTTCTCGATCTTCAGCTTCATCAAATGCATGTCTCTCTCGGGGAACTTCTATCTCAATATCACCATGAACTTTTTCACTCATGGCAGAAAAGTCCTTGTTGTGCTTGCCCAACCCAAAAGGCCTCTTACTTTTCTGGCTTTTTACTAAAACAACAATACGAAGATTTGTTTGATTTTGTTCCAAAGCATGATCGCGACTGTAGAAATATTAAGACATCTGTACATGGCCTGTGCAGCTGTCGGTATGAAGTTATAAATGGCATAACCGCCAAAAGTCTTGATATCATTGTAACGTCTATGCTTCTCCTTAATTTGGAATGTTTTCACTTTGATGATGACGTCATTGAGGCGATCTCTGAGCTACGGAGACTTAGAAATGAGATAGTTGCCAAAGGTTCCACAATGAGTTTTACAGAAGATGAGTTCACTTTGTTCTGGAATAGAGCTAATCCCTCTATAACGAAAATTGCCAAAGAAATTTCTGATCAATTTCTTAAGCAAACAGTTGAAAACATCCGGGTTCTAAAGGATGAACCTCTTCATCTATATTCAGCCATGGTTGTCATTACCACAATACGTCACGGTAACCAAAGAGAGTTGGCATTTCTAAAGGTAATGCTACATACTGCATGAAACACATGTTTAAACTCCCTCCAAGTAATAAAAAAGAAAATACTACCAGAAATTGGATAATTGTCAAATTACACTATATATTTTTCAGGACTTGGAACATGCACAGAGATTGCTGAGCGACAGGCGTCAAGGTGAACTTTTACCAATGCTGAACTTTGGTTTAGAAGTAGTCTGTTCAACATTTGGACTTTCTAACCCTGCTCTTAAGGTATTGCTTTCCTAGCGATATTGCTTTAAAATTATTTCCACCCCAAAGCATGTATCTGTCATCTCATACCATTTACTTTTGAGGATTCGTTGGTGTTTGCCAAACTATTGGGTCATAATCATGTCGCAGGTACTTTTATTTTCATTTATGTACTAACTTCAATATTGCTATAGGAAATGCAGAATTCTAAATTCCTGTTGCATAATGGGAAGACCATGGACCTTATCAAAACTTTCTCCAGTCCTTGGATGAAAAAGCTGATAAAATCTAGGCTCTTGGTTCAAGAACAGACTGAGATCTGGCTCGAAGAATTGTGGGCTGCAGACCCTCTAAGTAAGTCAAGTGGTTAATGAATAAATGTGTTTTTAGTAATTTCATTCAATACACATTTATGTTTCAAACATATGTTTTAGGACCAAAGACAAATTCAAATTTAGGATTCATATCGTGCGGTAAAAACATCATATTGTCCAACGATCGCCGACATGCAGTATGGAACTTTATAGAATCGGAAGGTGTGACATTCAGTAGTAGAGCGATGAATCACTTAGAGCATGCGCATCTTGAAATCATGGGGAGTGGGGAGGTTGCTGTTGGTGTATTGGAAAGTGATCCGATGATTCAAAGGCAACGGTTATCTTCTTTTTCTGCATGTCCCGAGTTTAAGACTGCCATTGTAGTGAAAACATTCGAGTCCTCGAGCCTAGTAAAGATGGTTCGGGATGTTGACGAGTTAGTGATTTATTGTGACAAGCAACGATATGTGTTATACATTGAGCAAGGGAAAAGGGTGTGGCTTGTGTTTTGCCTACGATTTGGAGATGTGAAGATTGAACTACGTGAGTAAAATTTGAACCAAAAAAGGTGCTTGTTAGAAAGATTATTTGAAACCAAATACTATCAGTTAATTAAAATTTTATTCAGTTCTTTAGCTTAAGTTGGCAACGCTTAATTCAAATGACTTTTTTAATATACTATAAACTTTAATTATTTTAGACTCATCAGCAAATCATGCAATGAAGTTTCATGACGTCATGGGAAGCAATGTACAGGCAACTGGAGGAAACAAACGTCTGCTCTGTCTAAAACATGTCAATTCGCAATCCGTGTGTCGTCTGAGCAGGCGAATCCATTATGGTGAGGAGGTCACTCTATTCATTAGACAAGAGAAACCTACCAATGTTCATGCCATTCCATGCTACATTCTTATAGGCATCAGTGCAGACGGACTCCATAACGGGTCCCTACATGACGATCAACCATTCACTTCCGCATCACGTTCGTGGCTCATAAAAAGGAAATTAGAAGAGTTAGAATGTATTGGAAAGATCCAAGTTTGTGTGTCTATGAATGGATTACTGAAATTTGTTACCTCTAAAGGCTCAACTTTAACAGTGCAACTTAGTGAAAGTGAAAAAAAGATGGGTGTTGCGGTGGTTTTCGAATTATTTCGGACAGAACTTGAAATCGTTAACTATAAAATTAAACAATAAAACATTGTTTTAATTAATATCTTCCAATGTACGTTAAAAACATTGTGATAAGTCTACTCAAGATTTCATTTTAGTAATTTTTTCTTTTTCTTTCATTGTGACACTATTAAGATTATTTTCCTGTGATTTGAAAATACATGTATACAGTTTTGTACATATTTTTTAAAGTATAAACCTGTAGATGAAGAGGGTGAACATAACGAACAGTGATCGATCTCTATAATTCTATATGCTGTACAATTTAAATTTAACAACAGGGCATAAACACGAACTCCTGGAAGTTCTAGAGGTGGGATCAGGAGGAGTAAACATCCTCTGTTGACTGGCCACATCCACTGTGAGCCTATATGTTGATCATCAACTTTTTTTTCAAAAAATCAGAGAAGAGATTAATTTATCTCGTTTAAGTGTGAAATGTTCTATACGTAAAGCATGTCGTTGTTGATATTCTTGTTTCATCAACTTTTTTTCAACGGAGAGATATAAACCCCATATGCAAATGATGATAATATTACTGCATAAGTAAGGAGTTGATGATTCAAAAATAAAGTCATTGCGTTTATCATAAAACTTTGTTGTTAGATTGCAATTAACTAATAAAATATCCAAATATGAAACAAATGTACCATACTCCATGGTATCTTTTATTTCAAGCTCTCTGGGATAGATGGTGTCGACATATGAATGGAAGTAACTTGATTGTTAATGCGTCGTCGAAATATCTATATGTTGAGTTGAAGGTCAGAAAATAATTTATTCTTCTCATATATGTATGTTTTGAAGAAGCTATTGTTAATTTAATGATGCGTCATCGATATAAATTTCTAGTTAATGGTCACATCAAGCGTTTTCTTCTCATGTAGAAGTTATTGCATTTATATGTATTTCGTCTAACATAATCTTTTTTTTTAACTTATTCCTAATAAAAACGCTGGAAAATGTAAATACCAGAGAAGATCGTTAGAACAGGCTTCCTAAGTTAAGATTATTGATTGCGTCTAAAACCAAAACCTAATTCTTTTGTAAATAAAAATAAAGTTATTAAACGGGGACATCCACAATTCTTCAGTGTTAGATACGCTTATCAAATATGTAGTAAAGGTTGCTGCTCCATTGAATCACATCTCTCATTTTTTTTATGGACCACCATAAAAAAAAATATTCGATAGATGTGATTCAATGGCGCAGAAACATGGTCTATTCAATATCTCTCAGAAGTCTGTAGAGTCTTGTGGATTTTTCAAATTTCCAACTCTACTTAGAGTAATTTCTAAACGAAGAGGGGTAATATATTTCAAAAGGACAAAATTAAAATAGAAAGATTTTCTATCGTTCTCGTTTAGATTTTCCTGCGATTTCCTTTTCAGGGTTTTGAACGTCGCATTGATCTCTTTTGGTCTTGCATTTCTCTCTAATGAAATATAAAGATAACGATCAATATCCAAGATCGAAAGTCCATTCAAACAATAAAAATCAGTAGCAGAGAAAACACGTACCTTTAAAACATCAACATATATTAAAATAAATTCTGAGAAAATTCAACGTTAACTTGTATTATAAATATAATAAAACATACTAAATGAGTCTTACATATTATGTTATATATAAAGACGATTATTGCTGTGACAGCGAAAAACAATACAGTTTTTATCTCTCAATTATTTTGTGACCTGATTCAACTTTTTATTTCTTCTTTGGCTTGAATCTGCCTTTTTTCTTTTTTTTTTATTGAAATGGTCAGGAAAAGGCAGGAATGCGTTGGGTTGCTTATCTTATTACTTCACGGAAAAAAAAAATATTTGCTTAATGTAGATTTAAGTTTACTCTACAAATATGGGTCTTTTGAGAGATGCACCAATTTTTACAGTCGAAATTCAATTTTGTTATGTACGGAGGTACGGAATTGATGATCTTTAAGGAAAAAACCCTAAAAGTGGCTAAAGGTATTGTTAGGGGCAGTAGCAGGATGATAGGGGGCAGAAAAGGATGGTTTAGATACCTTAATTATTTGTGAGGGGTTGCAGTGGCGGATCCATAAATCTTGAAAAGAGGGGACAGATCTGTCTGGGGTCGGGGTAGGGGCCCACAGCCACATCCAAAAAATTGATTATTAAATCTTAATTAAGGTCTTCCGTTTCCAACGGAAGACCTTCTACTGATTCTGAAGATTAAGATTATTCTTATTATTCTTTTTTTTGTTTTCTTCCTAGACGCCAACTTTGAAGCCTCATATCTCACTCATTTCTCAATGGATTTTGCTCAAATTTTCAGACATTATAGATGGTAATAAACTCTATCAGAATGTTGTCGATAATTTCAAAAAGTCACTTCCGGTTTTGAGTTATTTCCCTTTAAACAAAAAATTATAGGCTTTCATTTCCAGACAAAGGCTCAGAGACCACTAGAGCTGGAGCAGAAATTTTACTGGTTTTAGATAACAGAAGGATTGAAGTTGTGCACATCGGTTTTTGTTTTTCGATTTCTCTATTCAAAATGGCGCTATACAGGGGTCAAAAAATAGAACGCCTAAAAGAGCGAAAATTTACACATGTTTTCCTTTTTATCTTGAAAACTAAAAATATTTTGTTAAGACATGTTGAACAAAAGTTATGCATAATTGCAATGGCTTTCATTTAATACTATAGAAAAGGGGCTGGCCCCTAAAATTAGGGATCTCTGGAGCTTGAAAGTTTTTGCTTTATAACTCAAAAACGGTAAATATTTCGATCTAGATCTTACGAGCAAAATTGTTCTTTAACACCTTTTTGATCTGATGAGAATGTTTATTTGTTCGAATATACCGGGCTTATTGCATAATATGCAGTCGAAAGCAGGTCAGGTAAACATGTAGCGTTTTTATTCGGCAAGTAAATCTGACCTCATCATGTGTATAACTTGCTGTAAATAATATACCCTACGGTATTTTATGTTGATTTTCTTCAAAATAAGGTTTTAAACGTGTTTTATGATTAACTATTAAATCATTTATTACAACTAGTTTTTCTATTTTTCTTTATTTAATTAGTTTTATAGTGAACACGTCTTTAAAAGCGGAAGATATAAAATCTTTCTACGTTTATCATTGTAACAAACTATATAATTAATCTTAAACTTTATACATTGAATAATTCACGATCATTAGTTGTATACATTTTACGATCCCCATGTTCATCGAGATGTTTTACAGTTATGTAATCAAAGCCGCGAATCCCACGCTGTCGATCTAGGTCACGAGTGTACCAGGCACCTGTGGACATAAACAAAGCAAGTGTTTGTGATTGTATTAGACCATTGTGTAGAAAAACCTAACAATTAATAGAAAACTGTGTTTTTAATTACATCGCGATTCAATAAGATTATTTTACCCATCTTTCATATTTAATCGTAATTCCAAACACTGGTGCATAAAATCATTTTGAACTGTGTTCGCTTTCTTTGGCCTGTTCTCGCAAAATATAAAAAAAAATATAACTTTATTCTGTGTTAATGTATTTTATTTCAATTGTAATTGAGAAGGGGCTTCGGCAAATAATTATAATTAGTGATGGATAGTGATAGGTAATATTGTATATGTATGTTTTATTTTTACCATGATCACTCTTTTGTTTCTCCATTTATCGGGGTATCATTTTTTTAAAGATTAAATAAACATTGAACATAAAAAGTACTTTATAATATACTATTATTCACGTATTTGTAATACCGGTATAGCAAACAGGTTATATCCAGCTTTGTCGCTTTGTGTCTAAAGTTGTGTTGCCCGGTCCTCGTTTACAAGCACGTGGTTGCAGAGAACAGTGGGTATATATGAAAATCCATTGTGTACTCCGATAGTTACAAATGGAAAATTGGGTTTGAAATATGTCATTTCTTTCATATCATTTAATTTCACTCTATTTCAGCTTGTTTAAATCAATCGTAATCGCTTGTACATTTATTCATTGTAAGTTTTATGTATTTTGATAGCCGAATAAACACTAGCTGGGTTTGCAATACCCCCCCCCCCCCTGTTTTTATCGAGGTGGATGTTGTTTTATGAATATTAAACTTACATGTACGCATGCATGGTAGTTGTAAGTGGAGGTGACGTTTCTAATTCACGGGAAAACATCCAACGCTAAATTAAGCACTTTTGAGTATGCAGTTATTTGCTACTAATCTTAAAATGTTATTGTACAAAATAATATACTTTTTTGTTGAATAAACAGAATATCTTAACATTGCACGATTTTACATGCTTGTACATGCACAGGCGATGTAAGAATGCACTTTTGCATAGAATAACGGCCAAAATATATACATCCAGAGTTTTAGAATACGATTTTTTAAAAATTGAAAATTCGTTAATGCTATTTATCATTAACCAGTATCTCGACGATAAAATATAAATTTTAATTCTTTACCAAACGTCCCCCCGGTCAGTCATTGTTAATGTTGGTGACATCAAATGTAGATACTAGGGTCTCAGTAAATAATTTCACCTTAATTATCCTCATCGTCATTCGGTGTTTTCACTAGAAATTTCATTAGAAATAAATTGTTTGAGGACGTCTTGCTTTCTCTTCTCACACTGGTAACGCGTATGAACAAGCTTTTAAACAAAGCAAACGGCATTTTACAAAAAAGGAAAACGAGAAGAAAAAAACGTGTCTATTTAGATTAAAAACAAAACGCATCAATTTGTATTTGATCAATCCACATACGGTTTTTTCCTTCTCCCATGCATTTCGACTATACGGAAAAAAAGGATCAGCAAATCCTTTGGTAATATTAAAAGAAAGGTGTTGTACCTTCAAAAGACACTATATCCGAACAGTTATTACACAGACTACCAAATATATCACGACGTCCCTGAAAGAATTATTTTTTTTTTAAATATTTCAATAAATTCTAATTTAGTTCAAAGAAAGCCACGCTGTTGTATACAAACATTCCAAAAATAATCTTTCATGTTTCATGGACCGACACGTGGTTAAATTTCCTCTCATCACTATAAGTACCCCCCCCCCCCTTTAACATGTTTAAAATGAATACAATTTGTCTTCCTTCTGAGCCGAGAATGTTAGTTGGTTGATTTGTTTTTGTACATGCGTATATACATGCAGGTTAAGGCTGGTGTTGAATTCCGAAAGAAAGTCACAACCTATTTTTTCATGTAAACCAATAATCATACACGACATGTCTATGCCCCGCCATGAATATGGCTTGGGATATAATGTTTGTCATGTCGGACGTCTTCAATCCTGCCTTATCTCCTTCCGTCACACTTTGCCTTTAGCTAAGTTCAAGCTCAGTTTCAAACAAACTAACCAAGATATTTTTAAAAATAATCAAACTTCATACACAGTATAGCTGCAGAAAAAAAATGAGAGACAGGAGAGTTGTACTGAGCCACCCACTGAAAAAACCGGTCCTAGAGTACGCTAGTACATATGTACGATAGAAGACTTTAGAGTAAGCTAGTAATAACTGTATATTTATTGCGAAAAAGTGTTTGAAATATTTCTACAAACTGAAAGCCTTTTATTGCCTGACGTCACGCTAAGGATCAATATTTCCTGAGTTCGAAGAGGTCACAGTTAGCCAGCAAAATTTTGTGCATGCTGATTATGATCATCGGATTTGTTACATGCATTTATCTATTCTGTTAGCAGAAAAATAAACATATTGCTAATAAAATACATTGATGTATTTATTTTCTTTAGCTTTTTGCTAGCATCTATTAATTTCATGCGAGTTCTTATACGGATATACTCGTATGTCCGTTTGACCTTTTTTCTGCGTTTCTATACTACTGGATTAGTCCATTTGTCTTCTAGGTAAGGGGTGACACTATTATTTCGCGCCAAAATGTCACGTGTAGGTTTTTGCACCCTTTTTCTGGACTATTCTATTGAATGAAAATGAAAACTGCATGAATTATGTAAAGTCTGTTCTTTTCTGTCGGAATCCTGGTCGAGCTTTGGAAAAAAAACAAACAAACAATTCGGTGACATTGTGAAGTGAGTTAGAAGTTACATTATTTAAAGTAATAAAACATTTGATGTTGACCCCTCATCCCTGGGAAAAACTTCCTGAATCCGCACCATGGCATTCATATATCGCCGTCAAGTTTGTTGGGTCATTTAAAGCTTTAATTATTTTTCTCACGTTTCCAACAATCTTTGATACTTTGGCATACCCAAGAAACTATTAATCATATTCTGCACGTCAGTCATAATTGTTAGATCCCCAATTTCTTGTAGTTATCATATTTTCAGCTGTCACCTTTTTTTGTAGCCATGCTTTCAAGCATTAATTAAATGTTTTTCCTTATTTACGTCATCCTCTAAAACCATTTTAGACTTGCGGACGGAGGTGTTCATCTTTACGTCCCGGGTTCGAATCTATAGCGGGACATGATCATGATTTCATTTTTTATTTGAGATACAAACAATATATATGGTTTATATAAAATGTGTTCTTTTTCCATTGCTCTGATGAGTATCTTACAACTTAAAATGAATGCATGATGTTTTGTGCAACATCTCCATAATTTACTCCAGTGAAATAATTTAACACCCCCCCCCCCCAATGTAAACGTTTATAGTTTATCATGCTCATAGATTCTATAGATATTGATGACATTAGTCAGCCAAGCTTTTTAAAAAGCTGTTACTTGTGTTATTATTTGTTTATTTATTCGTGCAAAGGACATTGGGTAGTAAAGGAGCTCTGGGAATGTTGCACAACAAAATTTGCTTGACGTGTGTACAATTCCGAACTTCTTTTCTTACACGTTATTCTATTGAGCTCGCTGCGCTCGCTATTATACGGTTCTTGAAAATGAAAGAAACGTCGTAGTCATTATGAAAAGTAACCGATTTTCTTGATTGTACAAACATTTTCTAAGAAATTAGGGTTTTTTTTAAGTTATAAGGAAAAAAATTAATATGTGTCATTTTAGATTGCCGACGTGCAATGATCTGATACATGTGTACCGTATTTATGAGAGGTTCATATCTCTTCCCTCGTCTGAAAAGTGTCGCATCCATTGATATTTTCTTTTTTGCTACGATTTGATGCTTTAAAAATGATGTCTTTATTTCATTTGGTTATTCTCGATATATAAATATCTGTCCCACCAGTCTGTGGGATGCGATAGTAAAGTGTCTGCCGTCCGTTCGTCTGTCTAGCTGTCTGTCTGTCTGTAAACAATTTTTCAAAATACTACTCTTCCTACCGTTTTGGTCTGATTTCAATATAACTTGGCACACAAGTACACTTCTCTAAGATACATAATATAGTGCATCGGTTTTTGAATGCTTTAAAATGCGACTTCTTCAACAGCTTTTGTCTGAATTCAGTATTGCTTGGCACATAAGTAGTCTTCACTAAGATACAAAATATCGTGCATCCGTTTTTGATTTCGTTGAACGATGTTGCCATGGTTACTAAAAATAGAAATTTCTGTATATAATTCCTTAAAAATGCTACTCCTCCTACAGTTTTAGTTTGATTTCAATATAACTTGACACACAAGTAGACTTCAATGTGATACATAATTAAGTGCATCGTTTTTTGATTTCGATGAACGGTGTTGTCATGATTACAAAAAATAGAAATTTATGTGAAATTCCTTTAAAACGCTACTCCTTCTACAGTTTTGGTCTGATGGCAATGGCTAGTTTTCTCTTCCTTTGTTATAAGTACAAACAAGTAGAGCTAAAGTCTCGACATTGTGTTGAACCCAATGAATCATTTTGCCTCGATTATAGTCAGAAAAAAACTCATGCCTGAACATATCCAGTCATTTGGACGAGTCAAGATTAGTGACAGTGAAACTGTAAATTCGCTACCATTTTTCTCCTAGTGAAATATTGCTGATATAATGCAGGGTGGGACGTGACCTTGACTCGAGTTCAAAGTCACCAAGGATAAGATGTTTTGGTTGGATGCATGGACAGAAAGAATATCTAAATAAAATGTTTGAAATTTTCCAGACGGTAACACATGGATAATATTTTTATAACGAGAGTTAGTCATTGCTTAGATCAAGGTCATTTGGAGAGTTCAAGGTCACTTGGAAAGTTCAAGGTCACATATATTCCTTTACAGTCTTTTCCTAGCTAAACATTGCAAGTTGCTTCTCTTACAAGGTTTAAATTTTCACTTGTACAACTTTAGGCTTTTGACCTAGACTCAAGGTTACGTCTTCTTATCCGTAGCTCCAACGGAAGACCTATTCGTTGCTTTGCAACGAGCTCGGCTCTAGTTATATTTTGTTATTTGTTGTGTCCCATGGGTACTTAATGCTAAAAAATGTCCCACGGTTTTCTTCTATGTAAAAACTCATATCTGATATCATACGTGCCAGGCACGTACATCAAAATTGTGAGAAAACCTTAGATATTTCGGACTAGAAGATAATATATTGCTAAAAATGTGTTCGTTTTTTTATTGTATATTATGTATAATTATTATTATTCGGTAACAAGTTATGTAATAATTTATTATTAAACTGAGCAACATTTTTATAAAGAATATTTTAATTTGTTTTCCTCATCAGTACTTTTTCCCATTGATTTGAGCAATTGATGTTAAACTCTGTTGACCATATAGTTTCCATATATCGGCTTTTGATCTAGACTTTTATAAAATTATAAAAATCGACATGACCATTGAACAAAATTTATGTGTTATTTATTCTGAGAAGTTGATGACTCGTTTTAACTTTAACTTTCACTAGAAAGTTGTTAGAATCTTTTGATTGTCAATAAAAAATATGTTCAAAAATTCTCAGAGAGTAGACAGTAGGCTTAAATCATCAAAAAAGGCAACTCAGCTTTAAAATGTTTAAGATATTTTGGAATCAAAAGTTTTGCAAAACAAAAATTAGGACTGTATATGTTGGATAGATATAAAAGTGTAGATTGCAGTAAATTTGACCATTTTAATTGTTTTCTTGATAAATAGTTGGAATGAACTGAGAATTAATATCCGGAAATAATAATGTCGATCATTACTATTTTTCTAAACAATTTTAGTAATCATATTCCTCGTCCAATCAAAATCGTTCTTTCTTAGATAGCCGGCAAACTCAAAAACAAATGAATGGTCACCGCTGTTGTGTGGAAGATCAGGGGAGAAAATAACGTAGGTCTGCGGGATTTGGCACAGTTATTTCATATTGATTCAAAAATATCTAAGCTTTATAGCCCCTCGTTTTTTTTCATAGTATTTGATGATCGACAATTCATCAACTTTGATGATAACAACAGCAGGGACGCGACGTTACACATGTACACCATTTCAATGTTTATCTAGATACAGTAGGCCTATACACTATGAGCAGAGTAATTGCATATGTTTTTTTTTCTTATTAGAAATAAGCTATTCCTTTTTTATGAAATTTGTTAGATCTTGAAAGTTTGTCATTTTTTATTTTGTCACAGTGTTAAACTGTTTTGAGTATCTGTATGATACCAGCCCCCCTTGAATAAGCAACAACACCATTTATTTTATGAGTCATTTTTTTCTTCTAGAATGAGTAAAGTAAATATCCAGAGTTTACGGAATAAACTCAATAGACTGGGTAATTCGGATACTGGAACATTGGAAATAAAAGGTATGTAATCATGAACATGAAACGTACGTAGGTTGTTGTTATGCCATGTGATAATAGTTGAACACTACTTGTAAAAAGCATAGTCTGACATATTTCCCATTCATCGACGATATCCCCTACAACCCCTATATAAGGAGCAGATCTCTTAACAGTTAAATTTATTTCGCTGTAGAGGTCAGACCGTCCAACGAATGTAGACATGCATCTCACACTGCTCTGCTACTCGGTTGCAGTGAAATTATCAAATTTTACGCTGTTTATCCAAAACAGAAGAACAGTATCATGAAAAATACAAGTAAATACATAATTTACAAACAGAAAATGCACATAAAAACAAGAAAAAAACGCAAAAAATCAAAGACTATGAAAGTAAAACTACATGACGACCACAAGTTTCAAGTGTGCAATTAGGTGTAACAAAAATCAAAAAGTTTATATACCTGTCTGGTGGCGCCTTTTTATTAGAAGTGTTCAGCTTCAAGTTAATGGCAACAGGTTCACCAGTATGTGTGAAAGCTAATCTATATGTCCATTTCTCAATACATTACTCAGTGGTTAGAGCACTGACATGGTGCACCAAGGCCCTGGGTTTGGGTTCCCGTTGAGACTTGATTTTTAACATTAAGTTAGAGTACTGTCACAACCAATGTAGATTTGTTTCTTATTTGAGCCCTGAGCACATAAAAGACTGAATTCTGTTCTTTACACAGATCCCAAAGAATGGATTGACTTGATTCAAAGTCGAGGTAACAAGCCAAAAGACTGGTTGGATTTCATGCGGTATATGACAACAAAGGCCCATTCTTCTGACGAGTTCAAACATCATAATTACTTGTCAGATTTGTACGAGACAGCATTTGATGTAAGTCTTTTATTATTTATCTGTCAAAAGCAAAAAATATATTGAGTTTTTCTGATCTAGGATTGTAATGATGTCTAGAAACATGTTAACTGAATTGAATGTTTTGTTTGGAACCAGAAAAAAGAGGTTGTTTCTTGTACCTGTATAAACAATCAAAAAACTTTATTTTCCAAGCCTATTACATTATGTTACATAGTGAATAATAAGGTATAATCCATACTGATTACATGATCAAGCCTAAAACAACCAAGCTGTTCTTATTAGTTTGTCTGGCATCTGCTCTCTGTAAATTTTTCACATCTTGTGCCTGTAGACATTGGTCATTGGATGAAAGACCTTTCTCCTTTCAAAGGAGCTAAGTAAGAAGATAGCAAAATTCAGGTGGCAATTATTAATATTTTTTATTGTTGTTCCAAACTTACAATATATTGATTCAAATTTTGGTTCCTGGGATCAGGTTATGTTCAATATCATTAGAAAGGGTTCCTAAACTTTCCAAAAGAAGAAAGTAAGAGAGAGAATATAAGAGAAAAAAACGAGACTCAAAAGCAGTGAGCCTGCTTTTGTCCTATATGGACTAGAGTGGAGCATCAATGCCTTATTTTCTATGAAAGTTTTAGAAATTTATAAAGTTTTAACTAAAATGGCTTATAATATGAAATAAAGTGATTTTTAACAACAACGTAAGTAATTTATGGTAAATCACACATTCTCATTTTATTTCACTATTTCAGAAAATTCCAAGGGATGGAAACAAGGGAAATATTTTCTATGGCGCTCTCTTTGTGGAGTTTGCACAAATGAAAAGGTAATGTTTCTTGAACTGATAATACTGTAAATCAACTATTAAATGTAATTCTCATGAGAGTTTGAAAGACATGGGTTTAGGAACATTTTTTTGTGGTATTTAACTGAAATTATATTGTTCTATTATTGATTTTCTTTTATACTGTCAAATATTTTTTTTAAAAAGTCATTTTAAAACGTTCAAAATGCAATATTTTGGACCTGTGTGGGGCCATGATTAAATGGCAGTTTTAATGATTTCAAGATAAAGTTGAGACTCAAATTTATATTAGACTAAGATTGGGGACCATAGACTCCTTTTGATATATATTCCCTGTGTTTGGCATATGAGTTAGCAAGAAACAGAAATTCATCTGAAGTAACTACATGTAGAGTCTATAATTTGTGTTGTTCTTCTTTATTTAGCAAGTTTCAGCCCGATGAAGCTGATGATCTTTTTAACTGTGCCAGAAGAGTTGTTAGGAAGTTAGCTATTGTACATATAGCTCATGCCGAGTACGAGTTATCTAAAGGTATGACATTGTACATATAGCTCATGCAGAGCATATCTGTGTTTGGGAAATATTTTTACTATTCACTCTCGCAAATGAATAACGCAAGTAAACAATGATTATATGCTTTTCTTTGAAGAGATATGGTGTCATCCAAAATCTTAAGATGTATGTGCAAAATTTGAATTAGAAATTTAGAATCTATGTGGAAGATGTAGATTTGCACATTAAATAACAAATGAAAAATTGATACCTTCTTGTAAATTACTGTGAAATCACAAATTTTCATGGGGGTTTAATTTTCGTTGTTTTCGAGGTATGAAGAGACCCACGAATTTATGTCCACCACGAAATGTAAAATGTTACATACATAACTACTCAGCAATTTTTATCCACCAGTTCAAATCCCCACGAGTTTTTACTCAAACCATGAAAATTTGACCCTCGAAAATATGTGATTTTACAGTATTCTTTAAAAACTTTCATGATTTAAATACTTTATTTATTTCTGTTGATGACGCATTTTGTGTGTACCTGTTCAAAATTTGAACATATCTAAAATTCTGTTCAAGTTATCTAAAGGTCTGACATTTTAAATATGTGTATAGCTAATATAGAGTATGAGTTATCTAAAAGTCTATACCACATATCAAAGGGTCTGTACAAGTAACTAAACGGCTCACATTGTAAGTGACTTTATACATGTTATAGTTATCAAGCAGTAATATATCTGAACAGTTCATGGAAAATTCTATTACGGTGTATATACATTTTACAAAAAAAGGTTGTAAAATTAAGAAAAATTAATTACAATATTTTCATAAATAATGAAAGTAAGTAGACCTCCATTGTTGGCATTGAACTGCTTAAGAATAAACATATGTATTTAATTATTTGTTTCAATTAATACAGGTCCATGTTTCATTGTTTTCAAAGAGGACAAAGTTTTGGTACATGTATACCTGGTAATGTAATTTATGTTGTTCCAGGTAATGTGGGTAAGAGTCGTAAGATTCTGGAGAAGGCACGGCAGTTTGAAGCCGAACCTGATCATCTTCTGACGGAAGCTTTCCAGAGACTGGACGCCGGCCAGACAAACTTACAGACCTCAAGTATCTTGGCTGAGTGTGCTACAGGTACGCAAAATCAAAGAATAATTTACAAACTTAAATATGGCTAGAGATTGGAAAATTTTATATACAGAAAGATGTGTACAGTAAAACTCGGTTAGTACAACACGGATGTTGCGAATTCACGGATATAGCAAAGTCATTTTTGATCCCCAACTATATAAATCTAATGTATTTCTTATAAGGATAAAACGAATTACAGATATAGCGAAGTAATTTCTTTGGTCCCAATGACTTCGTTATAACTGAGTTTTACTGTATTTACTTTACTAAACATAAAAAGTCCAATACTTATTATTATATATTTTTTAAACTATATTTTAGAAAATTAACTTTTACATCTCTTTGACATACTGTAGTTTGTAAGGAGTATACTGTTTTCCTATATGAAATTTTCCTTTTCATGATTGTGGTCTGGTTATGGGATAGGATAAGTACCACAATGAAAGCTTTATTATCAATTCATTGCAAAAACTGAATTAAGGCTAATTTGAAGTGTTCATTTTTGTCCAGTTTCTGGTAACAAGAGCAGCACCAGCAGTACGGAGTCGACAGGGGACCTTCGTAACCTGACAGGTAACCTGACCAGTAGTAGCCTCACAGGGGGACTGACCAGCTCCAACCTGACCGGGGGCGTGTTCAGACCCAGTCATGTGGGGAGTAAGGCCGACCTCTCCCTCTCCACACCCGCTGTCTCCCGGACAGACACAGAGACACCTGTCTGCCACCCACACAACTTCAAGTAAGTCTTAAATGGTTCTATATAAGGATACTGTAACCCAACTATTATTTGCATCATCTTTTCCTTTTGTTTAGCTACATTTTAAAGCTGTATGATATCATTTGACTTCACTACACAGGAAGCCTGAATGTATTCCAATGGACCATGAGGTGGAGATGGATACAGCCCCCATCAGTCACCGACTAACCTCCCACCCCTACCCCTCCAAACTGTCCATGTCAGCAAACCAGCCATGCGGAAAGCTCACAGCACCCCAGAACTACGAGGGGCTTCCTCCTCCAAAGCCATGTTAAAGTAACGTTTTATTGTCAATGTTACATTCAAGTGCAGAGACTTTATTAGCTTGTGTTATTATATGTCAAATATTTTACAAATCTCTCAAAAAGAGAAAGCTGAATTTCAAGAATAAAATTTGGCAATATTAATTTTGCACTGCTAGCATTTGCTACATATTTTTTAAAAAATTGGCTTTGTCAAATTTTGCTAGCATTTGCTACATATTTAGTATTTCACTAAAAAGAAATGAGAACTAGAATTTAATTATCGTAAAGTAATTGTTTTCCAGGCCAAAGACCTGTCTGCTGCCACAGCGGGTAAAGAAGCTCAATCTTCCGTTCAGTGAGTTGTCAGAGAAAGAGGAGGATGAGGATGCAGAAAACGGGTTTCCTAGTTTTACCCCGCTCGACGGACACTCCTTCACTGGTACAGGTCGACAGTGATAATATAAACCTGAATATCACCAGGGCACAAAAAATATAGTCTAAACATAATACTAATAATAGTCAAATTGTGCTCTGGACTTTTAGAATTTACCTTGTCTCAAGATTGGCAGAATTAATGACAGATAAATATTTGCTGAGGGGAAGGAATGTATAGTGTTTACCTTTACGAATGTATCTGTTTCAAGGTTTGATGGGGTCCCAGGCCCACACTTCTGGTTACATGACCATGACAAACTCTTACACCACACCCCACAGAAAGGATGTCTCCCCCCTCAAGGAGGTACCTCATAGGGAGCCACTCAAACCTATTCAGAATGAGCCAAGACCTAACATGGAAATGGATCCGGTGGTAAAAACTTCAGAGGAAAAGGGGCCACCCCTGACTGTGCCCTCACCAAAATCTGTGACGCCACCTGTAAAACCATTAGTGACAGAGCCACCTAAAAATGTGATCCCTCCAAAACAAAAGTCACCCACTGTGGAACCACTGAAAAAAGTTACAGAAGTGAAGCCATCCCAGACTGAGAACGAAAGTCTTAGGTGAGTACAGTAAAACTCGGTTATAACAAAGTTACTGGGACCTATGAAATTACTTCGCTATATCCGTAATTCGTTATATCAGTATAAGGAACTCGTTAAATTTAATTAGCTGGGGATCCAAGATAACTTCACTATATCCATGAATTCACATTATCCGTCTTCATACTAAACGAGTTTTACTGTAGCAGGAACAGTGTGACTTGTTTAATGTTTACAAGTTCCCTGTAGGTAACATGAAATGAATAGAATGCTATAATAAGGAAAAGAGTGAGAAAAATAAATCAGTGAAGTGAATTGTGTTGTTGGATTGCAATATGTAAAGTGTAAATCATTCAGATTTCAATTCTTTCAGAATGAATGTTTATTTTCCCCTCATTTTTTCAGGAATAATCCAATTGGACAAGAAACTGTCAAAAAGACTTCACCAAAGGTTTGATTTGCTACCTAAGACACATTTTGAAATTCTAATTAAAACAGACATAAAACATTTCTGTATTTAAATTCTGTCAGTGGAAGTATTCCTTTGATAATTATAAGATCCTGAAAATGTATTCGAATGTTATGAAGTATTTATCCAATTTCTATACATTTTGTTTCAGTAAAAATGTCATTGTATTCAACAAATACGATGTTGCAGTAATTTTGCACTTTTCAACATAGCTCTAATTTAGAAATCGTTTTTCATTATGGCAATATGGTTTTACAATTGATTTAATTTGTTCTACATTGGTTTTAGGTACCCACTATGGAGACTATGTATGTGAATGGGAAGCTGTACCAGGTGTTACAATGTGTGGGTCACGGCGGCTCCAGCAAGGTAAGATTTGTTTCAGCGGTTTTTGTTATTATCTTTCTTAGATTGTTCACCTGAATTTTAGGTACGGTGTATGTTTGAAAAGATTGCATTTTTTTGCTGTGACTGAATTGCACACTGTGCAAGATTTGTGCCCCTTTTTTGTGCAAAACACCCTAAAATTATATGATAAGCACCCCAAATCTTTTCCTCTCCAAATTCAAAGCAAATGGAATAATTTTAAAGCAATATATTCTTGAGGTAATTATCAAAATCTTTGATTACTTGTCATTATATGAATCAAATTTTAAATTAAAAAAAGGATAAAAATGGTCAAGAATAGAGACAATGAAATCAAGCTTTTTCATTATATAGTATAAAATCATAATTTATATGGACTGGAAGTTTTTCCTTTATTGATTACAAATGGTTTTCTTAAAATGTGTCTTAGCAGAAAATGGTTGATGTTCTCTACTTTGGCAAGACAAAAACCAAATGCTTCAGAAAGAATTGCTCTGAAAGAAGGGTTGTGATATTTTTTCCTATTTTCATGTGTAATGCAACTCTCATCAACTTTTGAGACAAAATTTGGTAGTAAAAAAAATTGTATCATGCTTGTGACATTCAGGGTTCTCCACATTTGAAAATTTAACCATGGAGGAAGCTGCGCGAAGGCGAACTGTAGCTGAAAACGTGTCTAACATACATGTACATGCAAGACATTTCTAATCTTCATTAATCAATGATTGGTTTTACAATTTTTAAACTTAACCACTGCAACATAAAACAATGGAATAACTACACTTTTTAAAGATAAAAAAATAATAATTAAATTGAAAAGGATTTATCCAATTTCTTACTTCACAATAGTACCAAAATTTGTCCAGAACTGTAGTTACCTTCTAAAGGAATTTAAAGAAAAGTTGTTGAAACAGTAAGTCAGTAACCATGGCAATATTTTTCAGAAATTAATAATTACAAGAATTATAGCCTGTTGTATGAAATGCTTTGTTTCAATATGACTAAAACCGATGAATGGGTAGTATTTTTAAAGTTAACACACAAAGGAACATTTGGACTAGATTCCTTTTTTCTAAACGTTTTATTTTTCTAGATACTGCATTTTTCACCAAGTTTTGTTTACTTCTCCATGTGACCCAGTGCTAAAAATAGTGCCACGCGACATTTTATCACAACGGGAAGTAACTCTAAAACTAAGACTAAGACGGTGATTGAGAAGTAGGCCCTATGCACATTTGATCAGATAGATAATAAAGTTAAAGCTTTAAAAACAGAGCACGGGAAATTGATTAAATACAGAGGAATATGAAATTTTTACAAAGTATTTTTTTCTTGCACAGAAACCTGAATCGCATGCAATGACTATTATCATGATCGTAATTTCTTTTATAAACCTGTTATATATCTAATTTAAGGAACATGTTGAAGTTTCCCAAAATTATTTACATGTGTACAAGATAATAAACTCTCAAAATATTGATCATCTGATCAGCTGATTGACTCTCCATTTATTGTCACGCTTCACTCCATAGTCACTAATTAACAACGTGTTTATTTAGCACAGTCCGCTTTCCTTCGAGGCATGCGGGGTGCATGACAGTCGTAGTCTAAACACAATTAACTACTCAAGTAATTAAAAAAGTAGGTGTTAGGACTGAAATGCAATAAAATTTAATCATGCCGATTTTAACCATAGCGCAGCTCGTTTAATCATGGCGCAGATAAATTTAACCATGGCGGGCCGCCATGGTAAAACCCCTTGTGGAGAACCCTGGACATTACTTCATAAAAATCTCAGCGGGTCTCTTCACAGCTTGACTCGTAGCTACATTTTAGGTATCAGTCCTTCCCTGGATTTTAATGTTAACTGTACATTGGTTTTCAGGTGTACACAGTGATTGACCACTCTGGACAGAATCCTCAGATCCTCGCCCTCAAGGTCGTCAGACTGGAAGACCAGAACAAACAAATCATCGAGGGCTACAAGAATGAGATCCAGCTCCTCAAACGACTACAGTACTGCCCAAAAGTTATCACTCTACATGACTTGTAAGATCTCAGTCTTAAATAATTATTGTTTTCATTAATTGTCAAATGGAATGAGTCAGACATGTGACAAGGGCATTAAACACCTTTTAGAAATACAATGTATAGCATTTAGTTAAAAATTCAAATATCTACTAAAACATACTAAGTTTGAAGAGCAGCTGACTTAACCTTTGTATTTACAGTGAGTATAAAGAGTCTGAGGATCTGCTGTACATCTTGATGGAGTGTGGGGAGCTGGACTTTGATAAATATCTGAAAGACACCATCAAACAGGAGGGACACCTGTCACCTCTGTACATCAAGTTCTACTGGCACTCCATGCTGCAGGCAGTAGGAGCTCTTCATAAAGAAGGTAAGAAAGGTTGCATCAAATGGATGCTGGGTAATAATGCTGAAATTAAAGATGTAATGAATAAATGATTACCTTGTACAGACAGTGAGGATAAAAGTCTGATATACCATGATGTAAACATGGCAAGTTGTACATGTATATAAAGTGTAGCTTTTAGTCCTGATAAGATGAGCTAAAGATAAGTGGAGATTTTTATCCTTTGTCCAATGCAGTCTTGTTTAGCATGACAGACACATAAACAATGCATTGTATAGTACGTTTACCATTTAATATGTTATTACCAGGGAATTAATGTATGATATTAATAGAACCCCAAGTGAACTAGGAACTTTAATCATCCATTGCTAAATGAAAAAAATAAAATAAAAAGTGTTCAAAGTATACCTTTCTTGATGGGTTTCAGAGAAACTGTTTCTGTCAATATATTTACAAGGATAAAAAAAAACTCTTTGTGTATATGTTATGTTTTTGTCTTGGATTCAAAGTCTAAAAGAAAAACATACCTATTTCCTTGTCATTATTCTGTTCATTATGTTTATTTGTGTTTTATTTTGTAGGAATTATTCATTCTGATCTTAAGCCCTCTAATTTTCTCCTTCGCCATGGTAACTTGAAGCTGATAGACTTTGGGATATCTAAGGCCATCCAGCAGGATAAGACCAGTATAATCACAGACACACAGGTGGGGACCCTCAACTACATGTCCCCAGAGAGTATCAGAGAGCATTGTGGGTACACGGACGATGACTCGCACAAGCCAGTCTTCAAGGTACAGCATTATTCTGTTCACTGATTCTGTCATAGAGAGAGGAAAAGTTGTTGAAATATTTTCCAAAAAAAAAAATAAATTGATACTGTATAATGGGTTATTTTTACTGCTGTAAATTTTTACGAATTTGGCTGAAATAAGGTGATTTAAATTTTTACTCCTTAATTTTTTACAAATTGAACATGTCCATAAAAATTAAAATCATCGGAGGTGAAATACAGATCATTGTTTTTGCATTTTGAATGCGTTTACATACAAATAGGCCTAATGCATCTGAAAAAAAAACTGTTGTAAAAATCAAAATGAAATTATTTCCGTGATATTAAATGTTGATTTATTAAATTATGATATGTTTGTTCATTGAATTACCCTTATATATCATGTGCCCTTCTTAGATTTCTGGGTTTTTTTTTTTTTTTTTATTAAAACACATTTTGCTAAGTATCATTATTGATGAGCATGACATGCCCATCTTCATTTTACCCGAAATATATAGAGAGACAACTCAAACCATGATTTACTTGACACTATTACAGAGTGTTAAAAAGTCACGTTTTTATTGAATGCAATCAAACAGAAGGAAGGTTCAACGACGTTGAAAAACAGGTATAATTTGAAAATCTGTAATAATTAAATCATTATCAGAAATTATGCTCTTGTAAAAGTAACCAGGTAATTGACTTGTTTGTATACCTTATGCGTTAATTAAGATTAACTTGTTTGATCCTAATTGATGATCACTTTAAAAGTGCTAAATGACAATTATAGCCAATGCTCTCATAAGATGTTGACAATTTAGGCCAGGCATTTTTTTTACTTCTGTGAAATTTTAAGGGTTTATAAAGCTTGTAAAAATTAGTAAAAATAAGCGGCACATAAAAAAAATACCCATTATACAGTATGTCAGACAGAAAAAAAAGCTATATAATGTATGACCATGGTACCTATAGTTTGAACTGTGTTTTAATCTTTAGATCAACGTGAAGTCTGATGTCTGGTCCCTGGGTTGTATTCTTTACTGTATGGTGTACGGACACACACCTTTTCAGAAAGTGGTTCGGCAGATCGCTAAACTCCACGCAATCATCAACCCGGAGTACGAAATCAAGTTCCCCGAGATTCAGGACAAGAAATTAATGGATGTCATGAAGGTAAGGCATGACTCTGTTAGGGAATTGTTGTTATAGAGAAGTACAGTGGAACTTGTCTTATCCAGATTTTAATTATTCCAAAGTCTTGCCTAGTACGATGTAAATTTTAAGTCCCTTTCAGTAAATTCATTTGTTTAAAATTTTGTCTAATCAGGCCAATTTCTTTTTGCAACCAGTGGTGTTTTGACTAGACAAGTTTCACTGTATCAGGATGCATTGATTTTATGGAGTCAAGAGTCTGAATCCTTGGATAAATTTGCCTTGCTCTGCTGTGCAATTTTAAAAGAATAACAAGCCATATTTTGTATCTTAGGTTGTTTGACACATTTTCCAGATAGAAAAAATAAATTTACTGAGATTTGAAACACACTGAAATCTTAAAAATCTTATTTAAAAATCTTGTCTTAAATGAAATAAAAATTTACTGTGTTATTTTGATCACATATAATCCATTGACAAAAGGATCTCTTGATTTTTATAATCTTTTACTTTCAGAAATGTCTTAACCGTGATCCAAAGGAGAGACCAAGCATAGAGGAACTGTTAAAACATGAATATCTTCACTCACTCTGAGGTGCATTAACCCATGATTCTGTGTATAATTGATAATAAACTGAAGATCTCAGCAAGTCAGAGGCCCAGTCACAAGTCATCAAGTCACAAGTCATTGAGCATGTTGAGTCATTTTGAAGCCATGTTCCTGTAGTCTTTTATGTGTGATTTCTCACCATGATGTGGAGCTATATTAGGAGGTCCAGAAGAAGAGTCCAGTCTATGCCTGTATTTACCTGATGCTTATTGGATAGCTTTAAGTCCACTGTTAAAACTGGAGGGGCAAAGGGAGTGTGCCCCCGTCCCCCAGCTTGCCATGTATATATAATTGTACATGTATTGAGTTTATCATGCAGCAAGTGTGCTATCTCACCTCATACATATAATAATCTTAGTGTTCACACTAAACATTGTTATTCATCAGGCTATTTGTTATTTTCTTGTGTATTTTATTCATTGTTTAATAACTTATTGTAATAGAGCTTATGTTTGGAAATTCTAACTATGCTTTTTAATTATATTGCTTTATTTTGTTACATAGGTCAGAAATTCATCTAAAAGATGAATTATGAAAGAGAGCCAATGTATTGAGATCATTTTCAACTGTGTAATCATTCATACACAATAGAGAAACTTGTCGTAGTGCTGAAATGTATATATATTTTATTCACTCCATTCAAATTCCTGCAAATGGTTTGCAGATGGTTGTTGCAATACCACATACCAGGTATATTTTATACCACCGATCATGAATATGGGACTAGAATATAACAAGTACCAGAAACTTTGTTTATAACATGTTAAGTATCCTAACACATCATATTATATCAAAACTTAATTTGCTGTCATGAGTTACATTGTACATATACATGTATATACTTTTCTTATAGATTTTTTAGACATGCCTTAGATAATAATAATTAATTTACCTTCATTTAATTGGTTACCTACACTGTAGGATTATACACTCTTGACTGGTATTAAACTGTCTATATGCAGAATTTGTGGAGGAGCTTTAGTTTACTGAATAGGGAAAGATTAATTGTTTGGATATGTCAATAATTTCATACAGTTTTGCTTTTGAGTACATGTACATGTAAAGGCTGATTAAGAATTAATATATATTTTGTTTAAGAAGTCAGCTTTTTTCACATATATCTGAACTGAACGAGTAATGGGATGTAAACATTTATGTTTAATTTCATTGGTTATAAATCAACCAGAAATAAAACTCATCAAAGAAATTCAAGTCAGTATTTTTTTACAAGGTTGTCCTTGTTTGAAAACATATAAGGAGAAGGACTGTTTGTGTACTTGAAATATCTATGTGATAGCAAAACCTCCAATTTCTGTAACAATTTCTCCTGCAGGCTGGTACAGATTTCACTGAAACTTTATTGAAGTGCAGGCTATACACCAGGGTATACATTAAATTTCAGTCTACTGAGTTCAGTTTAGCTTAGCTGGATATTTAGACTTTCACCAAAAGTGTCAGTCCAAATATCCAGCTAAACTGAACCTTAATCAAGAATAATAATAAACTACAATGTATGTATTTTATTCTTTCAATTCCCAAAAAATAATTTAAATCAAAATTGACACCCAGTACAATTTGTGGTTGTTTTCTGGGTAACAATTTAAGAACTACATCAAATTATGCTGGGATTAACCTGCAACAATTTACATAGTGGTGCACCACACAGGGGGATGCAATGACATGTTACTGTCTCTTTTTATGAGTTGGACATACATGTGTGGCAGTCAGCCAGGTTCGATCGCCAGTGGCAGATAGCTCAGTTGGTAGAGCACCTGAAAGGAGTTTCAGGGGGCCTGGGTTCGAATCCTGGTCAGGTCCACTGCATTTTCTCCTCTCCTGTTACATTGTCCATGCAGTGTCATGCCCTGGAACTGATAGATGAGAGACCTGCCAGGTATGAGCCTGGGTTGGGGTCTTTGGAGGGTCAAAGACCTTTAAGGAAGGAGGATTGAGGTGGTCAGCTGGGTTCTAATAGCCGGTGGCCAGATAGCTCAGTTAGTAGAGCACCTGACCATAGTTTCAGGGTCAAAGACCTTTAAGGAGGGAGGAATGTAGTGGTCAGCCGGGTTCTATCGCCGATGGCCAGATAGTTCAGTTGGTAGAGCACCTGACCAGAGTTTCTGGGGGCCCGGTTTGAATCCTGGTCTGGTCTGCTGCATTTTCTCTCCTGTTACACATGTAAAATAGACAAAGTTGTTTATTTGCAGAAAACAACATTGTAAATAATTGGTTAATGTGACATTAAGATTAATTTTTCTTTCTTTCCTTTTTTTTCAGTACAGTGTAACTTTATTCAGGAAAGAAAATAATGATGAGGACCGAAAAGCATCAGGATTGAATTGTAAAAGCACCGTTGTATTTTTCTTGGTCATTTTAACGTTTGGGTCAATGATTTATGCGTATCGAGCGTCAAGCATTTCTGTAACACCGAATGTTGGGAAAAAAAATGGCTAGAAATTCTTGGAATTGAAGATATGGTATGTTTACATCCTCATTTTATAGGATAGGTTTGTCAGCAGTAGATGTCAATCATTTTTGTCCACAATTATCACACTACGTTATTTCCTGCTGTGTCGAGAACCGAGCCAACTCATTTAAGAGATTTGAAATACGTTCACGATGTTCACTGTGCACTTTCACTTTAAGTTTAAGAATACACTACTTTAGACTAAATTTTCTTTGACGATGATTCAATCTAAATTGCTGCATCTGCCAGTTACTGTCCACAATCAACGAACTGATTATCATGGCTGGTGTGGTGCGCATGTTCTTAGCAAATTTAAAACTAAATTGTTTTTTGTAAGCGATCACCAATTGCAAATCGAAATGGTTCAGAGAAGGACCACTCGGTCAGTGTTCAAAATTCAAAATTATTTCCTATGGGACCAAAGGACCAACAAAAAAAGGGGTCTTCATGAGTCCTTCCAAGGCAGTGTAGGTCCAAAATTTACCCATCACATTTTTTTAGAATAAACAGGTCCAGTAAACATGGTAAACAGGTCCAGCACAATCTCTTCATTAAGCTATATAGCTTTAAAAAGCTATATAGCTTTATTAAGCTATTCAAAATAGCTTGATAAAGTTATTTATATGCTGTTTTTGAACACAAAAAACATTTTTTGCAAGAAATAAACAAAAAGTCGCAAGTATTTGACTATTCATATATGTACTATGGACTGTCAAAAATACAACCTAATCATAGAAATTCTAACATTACTGATGTTGAATACTTTAAAGCAAAATATGAATTTCCATTGTTTGAGTATCTGTATATTACTTTGGGTGCAATGAGGCGTGGATAAGTATGTTTGCTTCTCATTGTGCTGAACTGTTACCAATCAATTATCCTGTTGACCATAACTGACCTCCTTTATAATTTCATTCAAGAAATAACTGTGTGGTCACTCATCAACAGCCCCAAAACTTTGAGTACAAAGTCTCTCAAGGAGACGCAATTTAGTGAGTGATTTTTACATGCATTGTATTCAGAAGAGTTCAAAGTTTAATATTTCTACTGCACCATGATGCAACTTTTTACACACATTGAAAAAATAGCACATTTGAGAAAAAAGTCTGATAAGATATCAAGCTATTCTGAATAGCTTAATAAAGCTTTATAGCTAAATCAAGCTATATAGCTTAATCAAGCGATTGTGCTGGACCTGGTAAAGACTATTTCTACCTACGTAGCTATTAATAGCTACGTAGGTTTTTAAACCTACCCAAAGTAGCTATTTTTACCTACTTTCTGCTTTACTTACGGAAAATCTTTGAAAATCATCTTATCCAGAACATAAGCAATGATTGCATGTTTATTGCCACATGGAAGCATTATCAGGTAGTGTACAGGTTCAAATCTTTTCAAATCAGGGCAAATGGAGATAAGGCAATCAAAGTTTTACATAGGAATAAAGGGAAGATCCGAAAAATTTTCCTATCTAGAGGAGCAAAGTCATGATTAGTCACAATGATATGGAAGCATCCTCAGTATGTTCAAATCTGTTCAAATTAGGAGCCATTTTGGTTAGACAGGGCCATAAATTGCCCACAATGGGCAGTCAGAGTTTTAATAAGCAAAAGAAACATCTCTTATCAAGAACTGCAAATGCATTTATATTTATATTGAAGCATCCTCAGCAAAGGCATGATTACTCATGCTAAGTTTAAAACAGAAGCACAATCAAGGCCTCAGGGCCTCTTTGCTTAATTTCATTTAAAATAGAAATCTTTATATGAAATGTTTATGAAGTATTTTTTTATGGAAAAAAATGTAATTTTTTTTGTTACAGTAGGGAAAATTGTGATCATCCTGGAAATAAAATGCAAGAAAAAGAATGATTTGAGAGTAAGCTGACAATGGCGACAGAGATCAGAACCAGGCCCTCGGTCACTGACGAGGAGCTGTTTGGAAATGGTCCCGAGGAACCTGACACAGGGCTTAAAGAACAGCTGCGGCGTACAATCAGCCGAGAAGGCAAGAAAAGACAACAAGAATTCCGGACCTCCAAAAATGACAAAGAGTTTGAGGAGGACTCTGACAGAGAGAACGACGATGACGTGTTTGTCGGCGTGCAGATCCCAACCGAGGTGAGAACGGAGAGGAGTAAGAGTGACTCGAATCTCCCCGATCTTGTCCTGAGCAGTGCTAGTACTCAGTCAGAAGGGAACAAAGAGGCGAGGCTTAACTCTGAAGAGTCTCCAGACGTGGTGATAAGAAAAATCTCACCGGCAGGGTCTGGGCGGGATGGGGAAACTAAGGACGGAAGCCAGGGGGAAGAGAATCAGAGTATTGTAGGCCCTCTGCCAGCAACAAAAGACAAGTCCTCACCAAAGTTCAGGAGATCTGTAAGTTTTCAAGACCAAGTTAAAGATAGAAAAGACAGCAAATCAAACATGGACACTGAAAGTCGGAGGAAAGAATATCGGAAGTCGAGTGGATATGGCACAGGTGGGAGTAATACGTCGCTGCAGTCTCAGATGAGTAACATGTCGAACACGAGTCAAGACACCGAGGGAGACGTCCAACAACAGGGTACTCAGAAGCTGACAGAGTTAAATAATCCCGCTGTATCAACAGACAAGAGCCTGGATCCTAGTCAAGGGTCAAAGATGGACGTCCAACCTAAGGCTTCTCAGAAAATGACAGAGTTAAATAATCCCTTTGTATTAATAGGCAAGGGCTTAGATCCTGTAGTCCTAGCTAAGAAATTAGAACCTTCAGGAATAAGCAGGAATGGTGAGCTGATAGAAATGAGCAAGAGGATTGAATCTAGGGGATCTGTGTTACCATTAATGTATGAGGGGGATAAGACCGGGGTTAGAATTATTTCCAGAAGAGGACCCCAGCCAGATGGCATAGTGTCACCTGTCAGAAACTTTCAGTCTCCAGACAATGTTGATGATTGGTAAGTCAAGCATTTATATGACTTTGACTCAAATGTCCACAATGATAATAATATGAGCTTGAAATAGCTCTTTGAAATGTAGAATTCAGTTAACATGTTTTTTAAGTGTGAAGTCGCACATAAATGCATATTTTCTGATAAACCGTATAATCCCTATTAACTGCCCCGGGCGCTTAGAAAATTGCAAAAAGGGGGCGGTTATTTTGGTATTCTCTTTGTGATATTTAATGTCAAATTTTAACCTCAAAAATCTTTTGAAAAAAAATAAATACAAGGAACCACTAAATTAACTTAAAATTAAATGTCTAACTTTACTGAACATGCTTAAAGTGAAGACAATCCACCCAAATTACGGTATGCTAAATTATTAGAGATGTCAAATTAGTCATTTTTTAATACTCGGTTACTCGGACATTTTTCCGATCGAGTACCCGGGTACTCGTTAAAAGTGTACAAAAATATAACAAGTACATTGATAAATGTTAAACATTGTAAAACTTTTGTAGAAATAAAACCACATGCTCCCCCCCCCCCCCCCCCCACAACACAAGAAATAAAATCATAAAGGGTTCAGTGTTTTGTTTGAAAAATATTCAGCTTCGTAATTGTATCTTTTTGTTGCGTTTGATGTCCAAGTATCAGTCGTCAGATCTACAGTTACTATATCAAATTTATCAAGTTCTCCTATTAACAGAGCGGATTTAGGACCTTCCTTGGTCGTACACTTTTTCAATCCTAGATTTCATAGTTTTACGGATGGTATATTGTAGTTTGGTGCAACGATGGACATCAGTTTTTTTTAAGCCTTTGCCTTCAACCATTTGTATTGGCAGTCCTACTAAACAGAGTACGCTAGTACGATAGAGTACTTTAGAGTACGCTTATAAAATTTTATAATTTAATGAAATAAAACTACTTTTTTTTCTACATTAGTTTAACGCAATAAAAATATATCTAAAAGGAAATTTGTATGTTTTCCTTATATTAGAAGTTATTTTAATTTTTAAGTCACCTGAGTAAACTCAGGTGACCTATTGCTATCTGTTTTCGTCCGTCGTCGTTCGTCGTGTGTTAACATTTGAACATTTTCAGCTTCTTCTCTGCAACCACTCAACCAATTTCAACCAATTTTGCCATAAAGCATCTATGGATGAAGGGGAACAAAAATTCTGATTTTCATGGTCCCTGCCCCCCTGGGGCCTGAGGGGTGGGGCCAAAACCACTAAAATTAGTGCAATCTTTAAAAATCTTCTTCTTTACTCCTGGACATCAAGCAGTCAAACTGTTAGAATGAATGTAATGACAATTGAGTCCTCTACCAAAATTTTGAAAATCATGGCCCCAGGGTCAGGGGTTCTAGTGCTAGGGTGGGGCTATATTGATTATATAGTGAAAATGCATGCAAAATAGTTATGATTATATGAAAATGCAGAAGAAAAATGCCTTTTCCAAAATTGTGAATTTTTATAACCCCAGAGAAAATGCAGAAATTGTTTGAAAAGGGGTATTCAACTAATGAACTAAGTATATAGTTATGATGAGCAAGAATGCCTTTTCCAAAATTGTGAATTTTATAACCCCAGAGTCAGGGGTTCTGGTGTTTGATTATACAGAGAAAATGCAGAAATTGTTTGAAAATCTTCTTCTCTGCTCCTGGATATTCAACGAATGAACTAAGTATATAGTTATGATGAGCAAGAATGCCTTTTCCAAAATTGTGAATTTTATGGCCCCAGGGTCAGGGGTTTTGGTGTTAGGGTGGGGCTCTATTGATTATATAGTGAAAATACATTAATTCTTTGAAAATCTTCTTCTCTGCTACTGAGTATTAAATTAACTAACTAGTAAGTATATACCTATGATGAGCAAGAATGCTTCTTCCAAAATTGTGAATTTTTATGGCCCCAGGGTCAGGGGTTCTGGTGTTAGGGCGGGGCTCTATTGATTATATAGTGAAAATAGATTATTTCTTTAAAAATCTTCTTCTCTGTTCCTGGGTATTAAATAAACTAAGCACATAATTATGATGTGGAAGAATACCCTTGTGAATTTTATGACCCCAGGGTCAGGGGTTCTGGTGTTAGGGCGGGGCTCTATTGTTTATATAGTGAAAATAGATTATTTCTTTAAAAATCTTCTTCTCTGTTCCTGGGTATTAAATAAACTAAGTACAAAGTTATGATGTGGAAGAATACCTTTGTGATTTTTATGACCCCAGGGTCAGGGGTTCTGTTGTTAGGGCGGGGCTCTATTGGTTATATAGAAAATGCAGAAATTGTTTAAAAACTTCTTGTCTGCTCCTGGGTATTAAGCAGATGAACTACCTATATAGCTATGATGAGCAAGGGCCATTCTTCCTGAATTGTGAATTTCAATGCCCCTAGGTCAGGGGTACCATAGGGGGGGGGGGGGCTCTACTTATATACTGGAAATGAATTAATTGATTGAAATCTTCTCCTTTGTATTAATCAAATATTTTTGATAAGCAAGGGTGCCTTTTCCAAAATAGTGATATGTGTGGGCCAAGGGGTTCATGTGTGGTAGGGGCACTTTACTGATTATTGCTGAATGATACTGATTAGTTGAAATGCATTTTTTTGTTCCCCTACCCTGCCTATGGGTATTAAGTAACCAAACTAAACATGCTAAGTGTATAGTTATGATTAGCAATGGTGCCTCTTTCAAAATTGTGAATGCCATGACATCTAGTTTAAAACATGAACCAAAGTCAATCGTTGTAAAGATGTTGCATGATGCTCAGATGACCTATAAGGCCCATGGGCCTCTTGTTGATTTCATGTTACGGTTTATCGTTTGATCCCGTTCCCGATCTTATTTAACTTGAAATGTTTCATTGTTAACACATGGTTAATGTGAAAAATATTGAAGTTTACGTAATATAATTAATTTAATTTTTAATACATAAAATTAAGTTGAAATTCATAAGTGTGCAACAAAATAGTAGTTAAGATCGGGGTGTTAATAACCTTTAATGCATTGAATCATTAATGTTGCTTTCTTGTCAAACTATCGCTAAAAAAACAAAAATTTGAGACAAATATTGCAATATTATTTTAAAATACTGTTTAATCAAGTTGTATATTCATAAGTAAACAGTCTAATTATATTGAATTGCACAATTTTTCTAGCGTACTCTAAAGTACTCTTACTACTCTATCGTACTCTAGCGTACTCTGTTTAGTAGTACCCTTTGTATTGGTATGTAATCAACTCAACCATATCAACAATCATCTGTCTCGTTGCCCGAGAATTAACAGAGAAAATTGACAAAGTCGGTTGTTTTTCTGAAATTTCTGGCCTGTCGAATTCCTCCTTATGTTTAAGACGAATGTGATATAACATGTTTGTCGCTCCATCGTACAGGATAAGTTGACTTCGCACAGCTGACATTTTACATATTTTGAATCTTCAGGTGGCATTTTATCTAGTCTGTGCGATCTATTAAGCAAGATAAACTATAAACAATAAACAATTTTCAGTAAAATTTTAAAACAAATCAATAAATCAAAGCAAAAATAAGGGTAGAAAACACCGAAGGTGAGAAAAGCCAGGTAACAGGTGCTTGGTCACGATAATTACTGTACATATAAATGCTGCCAGAGGCGATAACGATCATTTAGAGGCATAGGAAACCCTAATTACTGTATGTATAAGTGAAATGAACATTTTACGTTTTAAAATCAATGTTTTAATGCATTAAAAGTAAGCTTAGAAATATTCAAAAATATACATTCGAGTAACAAAGTACCGATTTTAGTATTCGATACTCGGACGTTCTATCAAGTACGCTTAACCGGGTACTCGTTGACATCCCTATAAATTATTCATTTTCCACTGCAAAATAAGATAATATAGACACGTTTCATTTTCACTTTGTTTGATTTTTTGATACGATTCTTCTTGATTTTAATCACTGTACAGGGGGCCCTTATTTCCTGACAATTGAAAAAGACCTAAGGGGGCATTTATAAGGGCAGGGGTGGTTAATAGGGATTATACGGTATACTTTAGATCATCTAATTTTCGTGACCCCTTATTTTCATGGGAAAGTCATTAGTTCTTTATTAGTGAGACAAAAGTTTCATAAAATGTGGACTTTGCTCTATATAATCTTAAGAAATACTTATTTATGCAAGAATCAAATTCTGCGAGCACACTGTCTTGTGCAATTATGCGAAAACTTTTCGCAAATAAAAAGTTATTTACAGTATTTGTAAAAAATTTTGGAGCATATTTCTATACTAATTCTTTTTTCACTATCGTGTTTACTTCAGCTGTTATAAGATATCATAGCTGGTATATACAGGAATTATAATCTATAATCATGGTAACTAAGTACATTTCTTGGAATTTTTTCTATGTTCATTGATGCTAAATAATGTGTGATGTCTCAAAGGGTTACCACTGGTGTTTGAAAAAAAGACATACCCAGTAGACCAGAGAAGGCAAAAAGTTTTGCATGCACTTGTTGCAACTTGTGATCATTTGTTTTTGGAGTTTTTTTTTTCCATTCTGGCATTATATAATAAATAGATTTTTAAGCACAGAAAGAATCTGCATTTAAATACAATCCTCTAGTGTCTTTTAGCAAACCTCTTTTTAAATAGCCAATGTAAAAATGTACAAAATTCTTTGTTGATCTAAATAAGATTTTCTGCAAATTTTCAAGTTTAGTTTTTAAGTGTAATTAAAGTAAAAAACAACTTAGGAATTCCAGACAATAATTACCATGATTATACTGTAAATATCAATATGAAAAACATATAGCAGTTTTACCTTAAATCATTGTGATTCATACCTATAGTTTCTGGACTTGTGTTTGATTATTTTTCAATTCTTTATTTATTTGTTAATTTATCACAATGATGATTTTAAAAGACCTAAGTTTGCAGTTCTTCATCTAATAATTCAACATGCACACATTAAGTACTGCTGTGTTATTTCCGCAATAGCTTCAGAACTGTAGCTCTCCGAAAAATATATATTGACAGACTGGAGAGCGACAGTGCCACCCATTGAAAAAAACTAGGGATGTCAAATCGGTCAATTTTTGATACTCGGTTACTCGGACGTTTTTCCGATCGAGTACCCGGGTACTCGGTAAAAGTGTAAATAAATATGAACAAGTAAATTGATGAATGTAAAACATTGTAAACATGCACTTGACGTATAAATAAAACCACTTGCTCTGATAGGAGGTTTAAACGTAAAATTAATGCATTTCTGTTGTAACAATGATTAGAACTTCGTGCCCGATGAAATTTTATACAACCTTTATTTACTTTCAATTTATTTATCAGATAAACACAAGAAATAAAATCGTAAGTGGTTCATGGTGTTTTTGTTAAAAAAAAAATAATCCACTACGTAATTGTAATGTAACTCTTTGTTGCATTTGACGTCAAGGTATATATCAGACAGTCGTACAGTTTGACTTGAACTTGATCAAGTTCTAACAGAGCCGATTTACCATTTTCGTATACTTTTCGATCCTAGATTTTGTAGTATCACGGGACGGTATTTTGTAGTTTGGTGCTATGATTGACATCATTTTTTTAAGCCTTTGCCGTCAACTATTTGTACATGTATTGGCATGTAATGAAACACAACCATATTAACAGTTGCGCATGTAATATCATCTGTCTCTATTCCCGAGAATTCACGGCTTCTCAGAGAAATGACAAAATTATCTAATTTATTTAATCATAACAGACATTAAAAGATGTTCAGTGAAAACAAATAATTAAAGAAAATCAAAAAATAAGGGTAGAAGACAGCCGAAGGTGAGAAAAGCCAGGTAACAGGTGCTTGGTCACGATAATTACTGTATAAACACTGCCACAGGCGATAACGGTCATTTAGAGGAGTAGGAAACCCTAATTACTGTATGTACAAGTGCAATGAGTATTTTACATTTTAAAACAGATTGTTTAATGCATTAATAATTAAGCTTGAGAATATTCAAAAATATACATCCGAGTAACCGAGTACCGATATTAGTATTCGATACTCGGACGTTCGATCGAGTACCCGGTTAACCGGGTACTCGTTGACATCCCTAAAAAAAACTGTATATTTATTGCGCATAAAAAAGTATGCTTTTCTCGATTTATTTCTCCACGTTTTTAAACTGTCATCTCAAAATATTACTAACTGTGTGCATATTTTTTTCATTGTTTCCACAAGCAAAACATTCCTTAAAATTGTTGTTAATAGCTGGCCCAGAAATTAAGATCATCGAAAACTTTGTCTATTTATACTGCCTTTTTGGTTTGCAAGATAATTCTGTCCAACGCACTAAGTGCAGATGTCAACCATGAGAGTACTTGATAGATAGAGGAGTAAAGATTTTTTTTTAATCTATCTTTTTTTGCAATTGAGGTAAGAATTTGGAAGAATTAATCCAGAACTAACTCAGCTTATTGCAACTTGTTGTGTGCAATAAAATATATACAGTTTTATGACGGATCCTTAACACTGTAGCTCTGCGGTCTGTCTATATTTATTTGGAGAGCTACAGTTCTGCAGCTATTCCTGCCCTGCATGGATCTCTTTTAATGCCTCTTTATATACTTTTGAATTGCCGGACTGACTGTTGTTCATACTAGTACTTTTATTTATAACAATATATTAAGTTAAAAGTCCCTTTGATCTCATTTACCTGGTTTAATCAACATCCTTGTTTACATGTTTTATATTTAACATCCTTGTTACCACAAAATGACCCAGCAGAGCGTAGATTATTTACGGAGTTCAGAAATAGTCACACTATACATGAAGGAAATTGTAAACACATATCAGTTTCATTATGTAACACACTGAAATTATATCCTTTAATTCACATTCCTTAAACAAAGCTCAGATTTTGATTTAAACCCGGAGGTATATATAAGGACAATATCTCTGTCTTTGCGGTCTGCCCTTTAATACAAATCATTGATTATCATTCTGTAGATCTTTGACAAAAGACTGTTAGATTCTATACCTTAGTACTTGAAATCTTGGGGAAAACCAGATTGTTTTTCAGTACTTAGTATTGTAACTACAGGAAACACCTTTTCTACTTTCATTTTTGTAAACAGCCAACCAGTTTTTTTCCCTGATTTCAATTTAAATACCCTGCATATTTTAGACTGCATGGATTGTAAAATGAAAGAATGTTTGACAAAGTCAGAAATGAAAAGAAGATGTAAATATAAGGATCACTTTTGATTTTGAGTGTGTGTTTCAGCTTTACTTCAAGAGATGAAGAAGACCAGACCACACAGATATCAAACCTTATTCCAGAGGTTGTGACTTCTATACTTAACCAACCCTCTATAGAGGACACACCACCAAATGACCTCTTACCACTTCTCAGCATAATGCAACCATCAAATGTTGAGGATTCTCCTATACCAAACCAGGAGGAAGGATCCAGCAATTTGTCACATGGGGGAGTGGATCCAAATGCCAGCAGCCAAGAGGGTGGATCAAACAGTTCTCCAACAGAAGGAGGTGGTGCTGATGATCTGAGCCATCATGATAGTTCTGTCCAGCTGCCTGATTTTGAACAAATTTTAGATCCAAAAACTCCAGACATTGCTAACATTGTTTCACCCAGTCTCAGATTGTCCAAGGAGGAGGCGATAAAAATTCTGGCTCAGTATGGTAATGCTCGTCAGCCGTCCTTGCCCTCGTCAGCAGGGGTACCAGTAAATCTACAAATCCCGGACCGACTCCCGGCCACCCCCGATGTCCCTCTCCCCAGACAACCCCCCTCCACCGGACACTCCAGCTATGGAATTTCCAATATCACCAGTGCTTTTCTTAAGAATCCACAGATATTTAATTTTGAAGTAGAAAATCTACAGAACATTTTACGGATCATTGGAACACCAACGTCAGGAATTGGGATCAGAGGTAAGTGGTGGGAACACCAAACATCAGAGGCCTGGTCAACAGAGCAAATGTTCGCAAGAACTTGCCAAATTCATTTCTACTCCAACAGAAATGTTCCCGAGGGCTTGCCAGCATTCACTCTGTTGAACAGGCCTCAGGACTACAGATCAGAGGGTGATTTTTAAGGCTATTGGGAACAGCATGATGGATTTTAATGAAGGCTTTTGGAAACACCAACATCAAAATTAGGGATCAGACCGAGTAGACTAAAATTAGAGGTCAATAACTGTACTATTAAGAGTTGTACAATATTTTGGTTTAATGTTGTTTCATATTTCTAAGATATTAGTAATGTATCATGTTGTTTAATTTTTTGTAGAGGGCTCCCTTGCCTCTGATGTCTCTGTGCCTTGTGTAGAGATCGCGTCACGATGCAAAGATAGAGACTGCTCACTACGCAAGTGTCAAATGGTAAGACAAGAAAATTAATTAACAGATTGTAAGTCAAAATAACAGTCCCTGACAGAGAACCTTTTACATCTGATTTTATTTGTAATGTTTCCAGATGAAGGCAGCCCTGATTGGTCTACAGCACACCTTGGACGGGTTCCTGGAGATTTCGGCCTCCCCGGACGTCCAAAATCTGTGTCTCCGACTCTACGAACATGCCAAAAACTGCGAGGAGCCGCCCGTTAGGTGCACTATACCCTGGTGTTACCTCCTCAGAAGGTGGGTTGGTTTGTTGTTTAACGTCCCTCTTGGGAATTTTTAACCAAATATGAAGATGCTACCAATTATCGGTGGAGGGCTGCAAATTTATACTCTATACTCAGCACTCTGGCCCATTAAATAATGAGGGATCTCTTACTGCAAAACGGGACCTCTGTTTATATGGTCTCATCTGAAGGACCAGTCTTCACGTCCCATTTCACGACATTTAGTTCAACTTTCTTACTCCCCGACTCTAGAGCCAATGCTCTAACCATTGTGCCATGCAAGCAACTCCTTAGATAACAATTGAGGTACACAATGCCCTAATCAAACTTCTTTTTTTAGGATTTAAAACAGATCACTACTAGTGAAAAGCATTGTCCATTGTATTTCTTGTTCATTACTGCTATCTCTTACAACCCCTATATAAGCTGCAGGCCTCTTAAGTGTTCAAGGTACATGTGTTTTGTTGTAGTGGTCTGACGAGTATAGATGCATGTCTTACAGTACTGTTTTACTCGTTTGCAATGAAATTATCAAATTTTAAAAACTTTTTCTGAGCCAGGAAAAATACAAGTCAATACATAATTTACAATCATAAAAACAAGGAATATACGTACAAAATATAAGACCAGGAAAGAAATACTATACCTTGGCCACAAGTTTCTAGTGTGCTTTCGAGTGTAACAAAATCAAAGGGTATAACGGTACAGGGTATGCTGAATGTGTTTGCAAATAAATTATAATTTACTGCAAAGAATGCTGAAAATGAAATGATATAAACTTTTATCATAATTAAGATTTCACTTGGAAAACCATTATCATCTATGCAAAAGTGTATTTGGCCTACTTTATAGATTTTCTGAGGAGGAGGGTGTCACAAGTTATGCTGCGTTTTTCTGGATTAAGCGTCAGTTTGACACGCCGGTCTGTGATGAGGACATCTTTCCTGAAGAGGATCTAGAACAGTTCATTAAGGTAAAACAATATAGGATTATACTGTAAGTCGTTTAAATTCCACAAGGTTAAAATTTCACGATATCTCAAAAAGTACCCATTGCGATGATTTTAATTTCACACTGCAAGAAATTAATTCAAATTTTGTGTAAGCATTAAAACATTTTTAAAAACTAATAAAAGCATTCATGATGGGTTTAATTTCGCAGGAAAATGATAAATCGCTAAATATAGTGAAATTAAAACCATCATGATTATTTTCCAATCTACAGTAGTGATATCTTAAGGTAACATCTTTCTTTATTATAGCAAGTGGTATTTGTCAGTTATCATCCTATGAAATGGGAGTAGAGCTATAACATGATTCAACAGACTTATTGTTGAGGCGCAATTATAAAATCTTCCTGTCGTTTCTCTTTTAGCTTCAGTCTTCACATCACCACACGGATTCGACGTCGTTTGAGGTCATATCTCGGATTGAACTGCCTGGTCACTACGGAAATGTGGCCCTGGTGTCCGAGGTGACCCCTCCTCTGGCCTCGTTTGATTCCGAGATGTCCACAACTGACCCCCTCTACGTAATAAAACAAGTAGGTGTCACATCATCACTGAAGTACTGATCACTGTTATTAATTATGGTGTAAAACAAGTAGGTCTGAATTATTGGATCACTGAAGGATGAAAATCACTGAATAAGGATAAACAACACAAACACTCTGCTTGCAAATTTCAAATATCTTTGCTGGAATATATGCCTTTCTCACTTGAGAAGTGGTATTTGCTTTGTTAAACATTGTCATCTTTATGTACGGCAAAGCCACATAATTTGGTGAAAAGTACAAAAGTCTGTTTGGGAGATTAGAAAATTCATTGGTGGTATGTATCTTTAAACATAATTTAGAGTCGCCTGTTTTTTATATTTTGTAGATCAGTAATGATGAATCTGATACTGATGAAACACGGGTATTTGAGAGACTGAGAGATCTAGAACACCCCAATTTGATTCACCACTACTGGATTGCTGTCTATCAAAGTCACACCAACATCTGTCTACAGTACATACAAGGTAGGCTAATTTTATCCCCATTTATTCACCCAATTGTTTGGTTACCCTGTAAGTTACTTTAGACATACTTTTTTCCACACAAAATAATTCTGTGGAATCTAAAAAATCAATTGGTTTAATCCACAGAAAGAAAATTACGCGGATTTTCTAGATTGTCACTATATGCCTTACATTTATATTAAGTATGCTTGGACAAATTTCCGTGGAAAATTTGTGACGGTGTACATAGCGTAAATTAATACCACACGGAAAAAAGTACTTCAACAGTATTGATAATTTAAGAATTCACAGTCTTGCTCATACACAAAATAATGCCTGCTGCAGTCGGTAAAAAAATCAATTGGTTTTGCATGAAAAAAAGTGAAACATTGTTAAAACTAAAGAACCCATTTTACAAAAGAACTAATGACTAAGATCAAAAACTTCAGTTTAATGATTCTGTTTCAAAATACTAGCATAAAAATTAATTGTAAATTCTTCATTATGAGATAAAGCCATCTTTAAATTAAATTAGATATTAAAAAGCATAGTTAAATTTCATTCTTAGTTGTCGTTCTTTGGTATGAGGGGCACCAGGTTTCTGTGGATTAGGTTTTCGGTCATTAAAAAGAAAAGGGTTTATTTACATATTATGCTATTTTCTAACGTAACAGTAGAATCTTAACTCAGTGTGATCATTGCTATTTTCTGATGCGACAGTAAAAGTTGGTTTACAGAATACTGTAAACCAACTTTTATTTGCGATGACTTTATTTCACTATTTACCAGGGGTAAACTAATACGCAATGATTAATTTTTGTGATCCAGCCGATTTTGGATCTGTTATTAATGGACACAGAGACTTTAAGGACCAGTTCACAGCGAGATATATTCGTGATGTTAAGGCTCTCACGAACTTCATGAAAATTTCTCACACACGAATAAAAGTTAGTTTACAGTATTATGTAATAATTCGGTGTTTTACAGGTGATACACTGGAGACCGAACTACAGCGACGTATGTTATTCGCCCCACACATGGTTCTACAGATGATGAGAGAAGTGTTAGACGCTGTGGATTTCCTCCATAGGAATGGAATTATCTACCTCTACTGGTCATGTAAGTCTTATATTAATAAATTAATCATTATGCTTCACAGATAATCAGAGACAAATTAAGACACTTGATAAAAAAAATACCTTGAATGATATTTCTCAAATTATTATGGCTCCCCCTATGAATGTCAAGGGAGAAAACTCTGATTAGGATGCTTTATTCTTTTAAGAAATTTTCAAGTTAAAGGCCCACTTTTGTTAAATTGTTTTCCCACAATATGTGAAATTGTGGGCATTTTAATTTGACCTCTTTTAAACAGTCATGATAGGTACAACAAAATTCTGATGTCTTTATTTCAGTGGGTAACATTTTACTGGACAGTTTACACAGACGACTCATCATTAACAACCTGACCCTGTCCGTGACTGATGATGGACTTTATGATGAGGGGTACACCAAACAGTCCCTACCCCCAAGTCTGGTCCCTCCAGAGGTAATACTCACATGCTTGTAGTCAATTCTCTGTAGATTCCTTTTTGTCTCTTTTTCTTGTGACATTGTAGTCACCAAATGCCAATAATGGCTTTAGACACACCTAGGGTGATACCACCTGAGAGGAAAACTGAAAGTGATAAACCTCACACTTCTTTAACATACTGTTATTTGGAACAGGAGTTGCTTATACTTAACCTTCAATATGAATTTTCATATAACTGGTAATATATGATAGTTTCAAACTCAAGAGTAAATATATAGTTCAGAGAAAACAACAAAAAGAAATGAATTAAATCAGTCCTTTATCTTTGACATATGGCTTATTGAAAATAAAGGACAGAGATTCAAATTGCGTGAATTTTAAAGCTGCCTCTCAAATTGCAGCACTTTCTTCAAAAAGTATTAAAAATGCATCATTGAAAAAGCACAGCTCGGAGTCATATCTTGATATCAAAGGTGTAAAACTTGAGACTAAATATAAAACAAATTGCTTTTTAATTCAGATGTTTGAGGGTGAATCGTTGACCCATGACAGTGACTGCTGGGGCGCGGCATGCGTTATGGTTCACCTGTTATCAGGTCATCAGATCTGGTACAGTCATCGTCATGACTCCAGAGAGGAATTGTGGGAAAAGGTAAGTTAGCGACTAATAGGTGAACAAGTACATTATAATGTCAGGTTATGATTGTATGTAATAATAAAAAATCTTCTGTCGATAAAACAGCAGGGCTACATTGACTCCAGTGAGCATTGTTGCCCAGGGGCCTCTCGTTTAAAATACTTTTTGAGAACGTTCTTTGTCAGAGATTTTGACAATTGCTTAACATTGTAGGTTAGATCAGGCTGCTCCCCTTTCACCTCAGAGGAAGTTAAAATCAAAGACACATCGCTGTTAGCACTACTTAAGGAATGTTTTAAGGTAGGTCCCCAGTCAGACAGATATTGGCATGCTGCAGTATTATGATATCATTTACACATGATACAAATTGGAATATTACTTTCAAAAGAAAAGAAGAGATATGACATGTTAATTGTAAATGATTCCTCTTTTCCAGTTAAAAGTGAGTGAGAGAATATGTTTTGTGGAACTTCTGAGAAGAATTAAGTCTGCATCAACTGATGGGAATTTTGCTCACTTGTCTGGTGGTTCCTAGTGAATACACAAACTCACTGCAGTGGTCTGTCACCTCAGCTTAATCAGTTCTCAGTATGTCAATGCTACCACTGGGACTTCATTCTGTTGTGACCAGGTTCTGCCAAAACTCCCTGAATGCAATTTTTCTTTGTCAGCATCAATTATAGAGATCATGCATTGGAATATGTAAATATGTATACCTTGGATATGTCAAATTCAGTATGATATTTTTATGGTCAGTACATGGAATGACATATTTATTATTCAAGTCGGAATGATCTCCACACCTCTACATGTAACACTGCCACAAAGTGGGGAGGCCAGAAATGTGTTGTTCTTATGAAATTACGTTTGTGCCATAAAATTTTTAAACAATTCAACTATTTCTGGTGTACATTTGTTACTAGTACTTGTAATTTTTGGTCATCAGGAAAAGAAAACGAGAGAGCTTGATATGTGTGGTTTGGTATGTGTAGTTAACGGCTTGGTAATACAAATATTGCTTGGTAACAGATGCCCATTGGTTTATGTACAGTTCACATTCCATGTATGTTGCTACAAAAGATTTTAAGTTGTGACTGTTTGTGAACCATTTTATTTTGTCTGTTAATATAAACTAGAATTGTCTATTTTTAGAAACCTTTTTTGTTAAAAGTTGCTTCTTTGTTTCTTTTATATGCCTTGACACTTGACAGCATGTAAATGGGGTACTGCAATGGAGCACCTAGTTATTATACACTATTTTAAAACTTACTACATGTACTCTCTTTCAGCTATCGTCACATGAATACAAAGTGTCTGCCTTCTATAAATATTCAAGATTCTGTATAGTGTTATAACCTTGTAAATATTATAGATATATATGTATATATATATTTATATTTAGTTTTATGGCTTGTTTTCTTGTGATGTTTTATGTAGAAAAATTTCACACTTTATGTGGCGACCCGTTGCCTTTCAATTCAAGAAAATATACATGTATTCACTAGTTGTGGAACAAATGTGCTGAGATAGGGGTTCTGTCTTACGGTTCTAAATCTCACTGTGATCTCAGCCTTTCCTACTGCCTAAGCTTATTGTGTTTTTCTTAAGCTGGAGAAATTAGGGGGAGGGTCGCTTATAATGACGTATAGCCTAGGGGACTGTGTTCTTTGTACATCTATCTTGTCACTGCATTGCTCAAAATCACGAGTTTCAGAAAAAAAAATATAAAGAAAGTGAAGCTAGTTTCACATTTATTTTAAAATGTGGACAAATATGTCAGTTTTTTTTATACAAGCTTGTGAAGAATTTTTCCATATTGTTAGTGTATAAATGTATATATATGTATACACTTGTATAAATACTAGGATAATTAATGGTCTTTGTTAGTGAACCTGTTAAGTTTGTCTGGATTTGTTGACTTTGGTGCATTGTTTCTTGTGGATGCAAAGAAGAAGCTCACCTTGTTGTTAATATCTTTGTTTGAGTTTTTGTTTTTTATTTTACATTTTTACTTGAAAAATGGCAAAAGAATTGGTGACCTATTTTGTGACCTATTTTAGGTAGTGGAAGTGGTAATGTTTTTACATATTCTGGAACAATCTAAATTTAGGTACTAAAAATGAATTCTGAATCACTCTTCTTGTTGCCCCTCCATTTTCTTTACGTTAATTTTAACATAAGCTACAAATCATACATGTACAGTACATGTAGTTAGTTTAAGAATCTTCCCTCCTGCTACACTTTATAGTTTTATGAACTTGGAAGAATTTCAAAAATTATACTCAATTGGCTTCATTTACTGAATAATGAAATAAGTTAATGATGTGACAAATTGTTAAAAGACATAATAAACATTTCTTTTCATTAGAAATTACTTAGATTTTAGGTGGCATAATAGGGTAAACTTTTTACTTTTAACAAAGAAATAGTGGTTTTAGAACAAGAAGGGTTATATTTTTGAATTTAAAAATATCTGTTATGGTTTAGGATGAATTCTGTACCCTGGGATGATATATACCAAGGACTGATTATGTTAAATCACAGTCCTGATTAATAAATGTTGATGTATATATACTGTATACAGGGTTATTTTCGCCCCGCTTTATATTCGCCCTTTCACACTTGCAAACAATTTTGACCCATTTTAAATTTGCCCAGTCACAGATCTGTTTAATAAATTATACTATATTCTTTGAATTTGCCCCTTTTACATTCGCCTTAACCTAGATCATGGTGAAAGGGGTGAAAATAAAACAGGCGCGAAAATTTTGTTGTATACAGTATTCTTTTGTAATTTTACAGTAGAGATCTTGATTGTTGGTATAGTTTTGTAGAACTCAATTTTATCTATATACAAGAGTTTAGTTTTATTATATACCAAACCATGCTTGATATTTACACTGTCCTAATGTCCTCAGACAGAGGTGATATGCCTTGAACCATTTTATGCAGCTTTTCATAGCCTCGCTTTGTTGATTTCTGTTTTCAAAACCATTATTTCGTTAAGAAAAATAAAATTGAAGCAGAAAAGTGATTTTGAATGCTTTGTTTTCATTCTCTGTTGGTTTGTATAAAGTAACTGTGTATACTTGGTTTTGTAACGACAGGTTTTTTTCCACACCTGAGTCCATGAATATAAACTTAGTCTTGATTAATTCCCAGATTTTGAATTACGATAGTGTTGTAGTATGGAAAGTCATTATTTTAAGCACCTGTCAGAAATTCATCAAATTAAAACTTCCTCTCTCCTTCTCTTAGTTTTTTGTGGAAAGACTTTTTTTTCAGATTGACATATTTTGTACAGCATATTTTGTTGAAGGGGATTTTTTTCACCTAAAGAAAATATCATAAATAGGCAAATACTGTTATAGCTAGACTTTCTTAACATGTTCACAGTTTCCTATAGTATGTTCTTAGACTAATTTACCCATTCAAGAATCAGCTGTTTATATTGTCTTACATATTGATTTATTACCGATGACCTTGACTGTTGTATTCACTATTGAAGTCTGTAAGCTGATTGAAATATCTATTTATTTTTTCATCAAGTATTTTACTAGCCAGTGGAGTTTATACCTTAATTTGAAGTTCGGAAAGACATTGGTTCTATTGTATCCTACCAAACATTAATCATGACTTGTCATTTTCTCAAATTTTCCAGGGATTTAGAGTGGATCCATGTAGATAACGGAAAAGAACTCACTTGATTATGATCGGAGGAAGTTATCATTGATCAACAATAAGTGAAATGTTAGTGTACATTGTTTATTTTTTCTCCAAAAAGGTCTCTCTGTAATTTGAAAGTTTTAAGTTAAACAGGTACCAATGGTCACCTGAGTTGATGCTCAAGAGAGTTTTTCTAGTTTGATGCTCAAGAGAGTTTTTCTAGTGAGTGTCTTGCATGTAGCGGATGTCAACAGTCATTTGTAAACATTTTTAAAATATTTTTTAGAGGGCATATAGTTGTCCTGTCCATCTGTCTGTTTGTACACTAGATTTTTAACCTTGCCAGTAACTTTTGACTTGTTGCAGCTGTGGTTTTCTTATTTCACAAGTACTTGTATATTTCTTGGGACAAACCTCTGGGTACCAGTGTATTTTCTGATTGGCAATATGACTTTAGAGGTTGACCTACTTTTTAAAAACTAACTTTGTCCATAGCTTTTGAAAAATTGGTGCCAGGGATTTTTTTTTCAAGATTTTTTTATTATATATGCTTGTACCCATGCAATCACCCCACAGACATTATTAGTGACCTGCAGTTGTCATTGATGAATCATAGTGAATATGTCTGCAAATTTACATGTTTCACACATTTTAACTTGCTGCTAACTACATAATGGAGGAAAATTAGATACTGACACATACAAAGTTTGTGACACAAAATCTTTCACAGCAGCAGTGAAATATGATCAAGGGATATATCAGACGTGGTAATGAGTTTTTGAGTTGTTTAAAAGTTTTGTTTTATTTTTTTAATACATAAAACAATTTACCATAGGGTTGCATCATATGAGCAACATTGTTTTTTGTTTTTGTTTTTTTATACATACAGGACCTAAAGAGAACTAAAGTACCTGATACTCAGGTGAGCCTTATTGCCAATGGGCCTCATCTTCATAATCTGCATATGATAATTTTTGTTTTTCACTCAATTTGTTTTTAACCCTAATGTGATAAAGGAAGGCATCAAAGACTTGTAAATGTACAGTTCTGCCTTATTCATCAAGTGTCATGTGATATGCAAGTATTTTATAACACTGCTATGTGAATTGAAATTTACAAAATCATTATTTTAAATAATTTTGATTTCTGTAATGGTTTTCAGATTTATCCCTCATGGAATACAATTTTACCTAGTTGATTATTTCATGTGTTGACCTCTTTTTCTGTAAGATGTTACACCTGTGTTACAAATAGTTTTCCTGAAAAAAGATAGAATTACACACCACTCAATACATGTCTATGAATAAAATTAACATTTTAACAAGGGCTAGTTGGTGTAATTAAGATTTAAAGGATAGGTTGTTATTGAAATTCAGCACTGAACCTAAAATTTGTAATTATATGGATTAAAATACTAAAAATAAAAAGAGTTACATTTGATTACATTTGCATTAAATACAGATTGAGATTTTCATTAAACCCTTAAACTCTGTGTATTGGTGAAATAGACAAATCAAGGTTTAAATTTTCTATGTTATTTTAAATTTATAATGTAAGCCATCAATTTTCAATATCAGATTTATCAATCTTACAACAGTGCACGATCAATTCACTGTTTTTATGACAGAATAATAAGACCATAAAATGAGAACAGACTTGTATCATTTTTTTTTTAATTTTCAATATCATAAGTTTTACTTAATGTATTTGTTAAAACATATGCAGTTTTGTATAGCATTTAAACCTAACATATGAAGGAATTTTTGGTTTCATAACCATTTAACATTTCAAAGGTTATTTTGATTTAAAATTTTGACTTAAGTTTGTTTTCAGTTCATGGTTTTGCAGCCTTAGACTGAAAGCTCAATCATTCTTTTTTGATCACAGTTGTTCAGTGCCATCCCCTTGTCTGTCTGTCTGTTTGTTGGTAAACTTTTAACATTTTTTAACTTCTCAAGATTGCAGAACCACATGCTGGGCCAATGTTACTCAAAGTTGGTAAATTAAACATTCCTGGGTTAAGGACAGTCTGTTGTTAAAATAAAGGTCAATTTTCCTTCCAAGGGGAGATAATCCAGAAAAGTTAAAAAATCTTTTTCACAAGTATGTTTATTGGGGAAAAAAAATGGTTTTAGGTCAGCATGGCCAAAATTCCTCTCACCGGTGAGCATCGTGGCCCATGTTCCTCTTGTGTTTTTATTAATGGGCATTCTCAGAAACTTTATGATATCAAATTTTCCACATTTTTGAGATATTCACAAGGTGTCAGCTGACTTAACACTGAAAAACAAACTTAAAAAAAAAATTTATCCAGGTTCTAGTTGGTTGTAGTTCTTGTAATTAGTTTGACAGCCCAAAAGTATTAAGTCTCTTTTATAACCATCTGTGACTTTACATGGCAGCAAATGTATTTTATAAGGCTTTTTAGAAGTTCTCCCATGACTCCATTACAGTGAGGAGAGGTAGTAGTGAGAGTAAGATGACACTGTACAAATTACCTCCTATAATTCAGGTCTACCGACCGTACACAGTGACACAATGACCAAGTACTCTACATTCCTGTAATAGGAATGGAATTTACATTAAAATTGTGTCACCTATTTAACATGTCATAAATGTTTACTTAATATCTTTTTCTTCCTGAATGAACACATGAAAATTTGTGAAAGTGAAGATTAATTCTCCTTTTCCAAAGAAGGGGATGGGGAGAAAAAAATTAGATCTTTATGAAATTATTAGGCCAGAAATAGAAAAATGGTAAAAGTTTCCTAGGAAGTGTTAGAATTTTTTTTTTTTTTTTTTCAAAGGCTATATCACAAAATACGATTATAAAGTTGTCTTTCCCATTCGAAAAACAAAAAAGATAAACAAAAAAAAAACAAAACAGGATATTGCATTGTCCACTGGCAAAGAGCAGTTACAAAACATTGCTTATGATTATGACCCCATGTATTATGAATTGCCAATGTCTTAAAAATATTTATATACTTAGTAGTAAATACACCGATTCTGCACGATGTGAAACCGGTGACATCACAATACCCCATATCCTGGACTGGTCCGAAAATCCATATCACATATCAGACCGGAAGTAATGCTTGTATAAAGTTTAAAGGTTAATTAAATTGATTTTATTCAAATATATACATAAAAAATAATTCTTTAATAACATTTGTGGAATTTAATTTTTTTTCAATTACCTAAAATTGTCTCTATTGAATTTTAAAGAAGAAGATCAAACATCTACGAAATATTCTTCTATTCTTCGATGTGAACTCGCATATTAAGTATTTTAAATATATGATAAATTGAATACTACATACTAAAATCCATATCATATGTCATATCAGACCTCGGGCACCATATCAACCCTTGGGCCTTCGGCCCTTGGGCTGATATGGCGCCACTCGGGCTGATATGACGTATCGTATGGATTTTAGTACATGTATGTAATATTCTCTATACATGTATATTTAGAACAGAATTAATGAAAAACATTCATAACGAAACATTAAATTGCCCATTCTTGGCATTTCTTTATAAGCATGTTATACTGTATTTATGTGCACTTAAAATATATCTTCTCTATATTTATAATCAATGTCAATGCAACTCACAACACTAAATGTATGATCCTTTTCCATTGTGACGAGGGTACATGCAGACTACAGACAGTGGCTTGAGACATGGCTTTGCAAAAACACGTAAACATTCAGCATGCATTTCTTTCTGACGTTAACTGTAAAATATGTATGTATTTTTGTGGGGTCAAATTTTCCAGGTTTGAGGATAAAATATTGGTTTGTGAAGATTTGATTTCCTGGTTGGAGAATGTTAAGCGATAATGCATGTAAAATTTTTACATTTCGTGGTGGTCGTAAATTCGTGGGTCTCTCCATACCTTGAAAACAACAAAAATTAACCTCCCAGGAAAATTCATGATTTCACAGTATTTAGATGTTCTTTCATATATTCCTGTGAATGTCTGTTATTCTTCTTTTATGATTTATATGTCGTGGTACTTACAGATGGAAATCTTGCACTCCTCATGATGATAACTTTCTTATTCTTTCAGAGACCCATGTGAGCAATAACTCTTGATCATATGTAGTTTGAGTAACAACAGAGGATTCTGCCTATCTGATGATTTCCATCATTGTACTTTGAAGATTGTTCAAGTGAGAATCTGTATTATGGTACAGGCATTCCAGTCTTGTTTTTCAATTTTCACACTTGATTCTTCTTCTCTAATACTGGGTCCACCTACCCACCCCAAATTGGATATTTTGATAGATTAGTTATTTCTCTACCTCACAGTATGTATGAAATGTTTTTAACCTCCAATTTTATAATTAAATCCTCTAAGAG